TTGAACCGTTTAAGCTGTAATTGACTATAGTCATCGTCAGAAATTTTGATAACCTTGTCGATTTTCATGATCAAGTTGCTGAGCTTCATGAGTTCGGTTATTGGATCTGGGTTCTCCTGTCCAATGATGGAGGAGTCGTTAGAGTTAGTATCTTCCTCGGAAAGAGGAGTTGGAGGCCTCCTTTGAGTATTTGGAGGTCTTCCAGGTTTTCTTTTAGATTTATTTGACATGGTCAACGGAGGAGAACCAGCGGTCAACCTTAATTCTTGGGAATCTTGGTTTCCGGGAGGTTCGGATGGGACCAAGTTTGGTTCGTTTTCTGGATTGGGCCCCCCAGGATTTTGGGTGGTGGGCTGCCTGGTGACAGGCCTTTCAGTTCTCATCTTCAAACCGGGTAGAGAATTGGAAGTAAGAAAGGATTTCTATCAGTAACTGAAGGAAAGAAGGTTTAGACGCTTCTTCTTTTAAATAAGTTTCAAAATGCAGGAAAGAAGTGCTAAGATTCGTATACTCACAATGTTTTCAGGAAACAGAATTTTTTTCTTACCAAATGTTTGGTTTTTACTGAGAAAAAATGAAAGGTCAAACAGTATAGGTTTTCTTACCACAAAACGGGACTTTTTCTGATTGTTTTTCGATCAAAATTTTATACACAAATAACTCAAGGAGTTTTCTAAAATTTGGTTTGAAGATTTCCTTTTCTTCACAAGATGTTTAGATATATATATATATAGGTTAGAAGGTTTAGACGCTTCTTCTTTTAAATAAGTTTCAAGATGCAGGAAAAAAGAGCTAAGATTCGTATACTCACAATGTTTTTAGGAAACAGAATTTTTTCTTACCAAATGTTTGATTTTTACTGAGAAAAAATGAAAGGTCAAACAGTATAGGTTTTCTTACCACAGAACGGGACCTTTTCTGATTGTTTTGGTTCAGGTCTTATACACAAATAACTCAAGGAGTTTTTTATTTTTTGTTTGAAGATTTCCTTTTCTTCACAAGATGTTTAGATATATATATATAGATACAAATATCACCAGGAAATGAGTTAGTTTTTAGGCAGTGGAAGACTTTTCAAAGAGAGGATCGTAAAGTTATAAAGTTCAAGATTTTCTAGACCTTTGGTAGTTGCGGATCGAACCACGCTCTGCTACCAATTTTTTGTAAGGTTTTACCAGTAAGAATTAGATTAATCAAGCCTTACACCTTGATTGCGGTTCTTAGCAGAGTTTTCAGGATTTAGAGTTTTCAAGATAGAGAAAAAATAAATCAGAACACGGCAATTGGCCTGTTCTTAGCAGAGTTTCCAGGATTTAGATTTTTCAAGATAGAGAAAAAATAAATCAGAACACGGCAATTGGCCGGGCGCGAACCGACCGGGATTTCTCCCTACTAGCGCAGACCTTTCTTTGATACACACACACACACACACTTCTTGTTAAATTATTCCAATTTGGCGCCTTGTTTCATAGAGGGACCGCGAGAAAATTCCGCACAGCACCTACGGGATTGCAGTGTGATGTCTTGCTTTGGTGACCTTCCGGTGCTAGTGACATCTGCCAGAGCTGAGCTATGACGAAATCCCGCTCTTTAGCCAGCATCAGCCATGGAGAGCAGCAGCCTCCCAAAGAACCCTTTTGAGTGGGCTGGTGTAATCTGTTTTACTGTACTGTACTGTACTTGGTTTATTCCTTCACTGTCTGGAGCTTTCTTGTATGACGGGACCACCGCCAAAACGAGAGTTCTGTGTTTAGAGCTACATTTCTATGCAAAAATCTATATGGCGCTGTTCTTGGATCTCGGTTACCTTCATGCAATTGCGGGTAAACGCTGATGCATGCGGCGCAGCGGAAAAATATCGCGTATTTCCTGAACAGATATGTCGCGGAACGCAGAAAACGCGGATAGAAGTTATTCTTCCCCTTTCTCGGTGATGTTCACTTGGAATGAAGTTTCGGGGCATTGTTTCGAGAGCAGGGTTTGGCCGTGTGCTAAGAAAGTGAAAGAGAATCCAGACGTGATTTGCGTTTGCCTGGTGGTTTTCGTCTGCGGTGGCGAATGAATGGGCCCTCGGCAAATATGTGACGCGTGAAGGACGAGCTTGGAAGGGACAATCACTATCAGTGGAGGCAATCCGACGTCACGTCCGGGATATTTCTGTGGTAACGCGAATCCGATTTCATGCTTTTCCTGGTCGACTCAGTTTTGAAGCACTAAGCTATGGGACCAGCAAATATGGTGCTGAGAAGCAAGCGAGCTTGTCGACATTCCGTCGACCCAACGTTGTCCTCGGAAACGAGTATCAACTTCAACGAGCTAGTCGATTGGGAGAGGCGCTGCCCTGCTGGAAAATGCCCGTGTGTAATTTATTTCATTGACAGTTTTGTTTTATAACGTCAGAAGTGTTTCACTTTCAAGAACCAACTGTACGTACAAGTTGTTCTGTTGGAATGATCTTGGAGAAGAAAACTGGATTTGCGTTGAACCGGTTGATTCAGAAGAATGCATTGAGGGATCCTACGTCATTCGGGTTCGTCCTATGAACAAGAAGCGCCACTGCGTTGGCCTGAAAAACTTGGGTGCCACATGCTATCTGAATTGCCTCATTCAACTTTTGTATCACACCCCAGAATTTCGGTAAGTGCATATGTCGAATGAGCTTTCGTATGTAAGCTTTGACAAATTCGCGTTTCCATCCAGCCGTCGGATATATTTTTGGAATCCAAAGCAAGACCCTACTGAGAATGTTGAGCTTCTAAAACCAGGTGGTACGGTTATTCCTCAGTCTGTCACAGGAAGCCTTGCACTTGTCTTCGGTCGCATGCGGGAATCTAAACGAAGGTAAAAACCCAGTATTCAATCGCATCAGTTACGCTCGCACTATCTGGGTTTCTTTGTTTTAGAGCTATCGATCCATCTCCGCTAGTGGAAAGTTTGACCCTGGACAGGAATTTGGAACAAGATGTTCAAGAATTCACCTCCCTCCTGCTAGTTCGGCTGGAGTACGATTTAGCCCACCAATCAAACCCTCTGATAAAAACTCTGTGTCAAGATCTATTTCAGGGAAAGACGCAGCACATCATAGAGTAATAGAGTTTTATTTTTTACTCTTTCTTATGTTGTTGTTTGACCGATGTGTCTTCGAAGGTGCTTGAACTGCCATGGCAAATTTAAAGGCCCTGTGGAGAACTTCTATACTTTGATTTTGAATCCGGTAGTCACGGGCAAAGTCAAAGGCCCGAAGGAGCCGAAGTCTCTGATGGAGTGCATAGTGGAATATTTAATGGAAGAATCTCTGCAAGGAGAAAATCAGTATTACTGCAGTGTGTGCAAATCGAAACAAAATGCTACGCGGAAGACAAATTTCATCGAACTTCCGCAGTACGTTTGTTTTCAAGTGATCCGATTCAAGTATGATGGGTAAGTGTAATTGAATCCCTTTTCTGTTCGCAAACGTTGTCACTTTCACTATTCGCAGAGCGTCGGGGACTAATCTGAAGATTTCGGACTCGATTAAATTCGAAGCGAATTTTGATTTCGGCCTTTTCTTCAATAGTCCCGGAGAATATCAGTATCATTTGTTCGCTGGATTTTCTCATCTGGGTGCTAGTGCGGAATCTGGTCACTTTGTTGCCAACATCCTTGATACGGGAGGAACTAGCTGGATTCGTTGCAATGACGATTCTGTGTCCATCAGCGAGATTCCTGAACTGAACCCAGGTAATGATTTAAGGGGTTTTTGTCAACAATTTGTGTTACACGACTTTGTTGATAGACGGAAGACTGTCGTGTATTCCTTGGTTCAGAAACGATGTACAGTACAATAATTGTTTTCCAATTCTTTCAAGAACATAGCATTGTTTTTGAATACAGTATATTATTAGTTTTTCCTGTGTTGCCAAAAATGTCTTCATCTGTGTTTTGAGATCGAAGTCTTCTCTTTCCGATTAGTGTATGAGCTGTTGGTCAGTCGCAAAAGCAAAAAGCAAATGACCCGTCAACTTTTGCTCAAGGTTTGATTGTGAGAGGTGTGACAGGAGATGGAATTATGAATGATACGACAGTATCATGTATTAAAGCACTAAAATATTTACTAGAGAAACTCGACTTGGTTTCTGAGTGCAAAATTCGAAAAAATACGAATCCCCATAGGACTACTACCCAAGTGTTCAGTTATCAATCAACTGAAATTGAAAATACGGAGGTAAAAATCAGAATTATATTCAAACGAAAACCAAATTTAATTGCTTTTTGTCTTGTTGCATTTTTGATTGTCTTCCTAGGATTGTGAATGGCATGGAAAAAGTTTTTTTTAAACTTGAACTAAATGAAGGAGAAACTTTCGAACTACAATACAGTATTTCTAAAGCAGGCTGGGGAAATCACTTTGAGCTGAACTTTAATTTCACTGTCAGAATTGTGTTCTAATTTTCCCCTTGCAGTCAAATACGTTGGAAGACGGTAAATTTTCGTGGATTTAAGTAAACCAACCTCGTATAAAAACTATTCTTTGTTCTAAAGCACAATTATTTTATGGAATGAAATATTATCCGGAACAGTATTGTATTACTGTTTTTCAATTGGTGAGAACTATTGTACTTGCAGGGAACTTCTTACAAGTCGCTTAGAGATGAAAGCCCTCAAATTCTCAAATTTTTTTCGGTGAATTCCCAAGTGTATAGTACACTCGTGACAAAAACAAAAACAACTTCGAATTTTAAGTCAAAATTTCTTGTCACGACATTCATCTTGCAATGGAATATCGATGGTAGTGAGATGCAGATTGCCCACCGCGGCAAATATTGAAAGCAATGCTTCGAATAACGTGTGCAGTGGTACCTTCTACTGTGAGCATAATTCGTTTCAGAGCTACATTTGTAGTTAGATTTGTTTGTACTACAAATCATGATTTCCCATGGACCTCTATGGAAAATCATGTAATTCATTCCAAGATTTTCAAAAAATGCGAAACATTTCCACAAAATTAATTTTATTTCTATTAAATAATTTTTTGAGTACTGTACTCCTTGAGCTGAGCATGTGATCCAAACTTATTTTTTATTTTTAGATGAGAAATACTTTTGAAAATAGGTTTTCGACTCTGTGTTCTTCTCAAGTGTGAATTGTGAGTTGAAATGTATTACAGCATTGCTTTTAAGTGGGGTTTCCTCAAAACAAACAGTTTTGAAATTAGGTTTTGATTTGAATTTTCAGGGAGGGTAGTGTTAAAATTTGTTTTAGGGGGTTATTCTCATAGCAAAAATTCTTCGAAAATGTTCCTGCTTTGAACATACAATTGGATACAATTTCACGATTTTTCAAAATTCCAAGGGGTTACACTCGAACCAGACGTAACCCCTTAGTAATTTTTGAAACCTTCAATCCACATCTTAATCCACAGGTCTAAAACATCAATCTGCATTTTTTCTAAGGTTGTTATGCTGAAAGAACCACCCCTCCCCCCCCCCTTTTCAAAAGGTTTTTGCTCTGATCATACTCCCTTGGAATAATTTTTAAACCTGCAATTCACTCTTTCTAAAAATATTGATTTTTAGAATGTCTTTGAAACGAGGGTTTGATCTTGCTTTTTTCAAGTCTTCAAAAATTGGGTTTCAAGTCAATTTTCAGGAAGTGTGCATGGCAGGGTTGAAAATGGCTTCTAAGAAGGTTATGCTAAAGGGAAAAGTCTGCAAAAATATGTTTTATTTTTAGATGGTGGATTGCAGTTTTGAAACATTGCTTCTGTGGGGTTATACTTAGAGCAAGATGTCCTTGACAATTGCTTTTGCTTTGAGGATAACCTTCTTGGAATCGATGTGGATTGCTGTTTTACACCTTTGGATTGATGTTTTATACCTGTGGATTGATGGTTTAAACTTGCTGAGAGGTTATGATTAAAGTAAGAATTCTTTGAAATGTGTCTGCTTTGAGCATAACCCTTGAAATTTTTAAATTGCATTTTAGGGGATTATACTGCTTGTATGCTTTGAGCATAACCCTTCAGAATTTTTCAATTGCATCTGAGAGAGTTATGCTCAAAGCAGACACACTTTCAAAGAATTTTTGCTTTGACCATAAACCCATAAGATGAAATCAGGGATTTGGAGCAGGGTAAACAAAATTTTGCTCCGTTCTGGACACAATCACCTGCTCCAGGCTGGTGCTCTGCTCCAAAGCTCTGGACTGTTTTCACTGTAACAATGAATCTTTTCATAATTTTGTTTTGCAAACATTTTTTCTTGGCCCCAGCACTTGTTCCACAGGTACAATGTTATAAATATTTTATTTTTACAAACTAATTTTCATCAATAATCTCATTATATCAATATTTTTTACAGTATATGTGTGCTCTCTAGGCAATACAAATTTTCAATACTTGTCACAGACTTGGAAAATCTGACTTGAATGTACAGTAATAAAACATCACAAGAAGGTCTAGAAATTTTAATCTTTGTGAATTTATATTCAGCTTTAATATAGGTAGAGGCCCATATTGGCCACTACCTATATTAAAGAGGTTCTGTAAAAACATTATCTGAGTAAGAAAAAATTCTGGTCCCCTGAATTTTCATGTGTAGAATATTGGACCAGTGGACCAACCCATGGTCCACAGACCAGTGCCAGTCTGCAGAAGTTTTTTGCCAGTGTGCAGGAAATTTTCCTCTGCATAATAAATTAAAAGGAGCAATGAAGTCTATTATTTTTATCTGAAATTTCAGAAAGATAATTGCAGTTGGAATCAGTGATGAAAAATAAAAGTTGGCTTTTCTCTTAATAACACTTCAGACAAAATTTCACCTGCTGAAACAAATTATTTTAGTTTTCATTCAGAGGAACCTTTCTTCAAGCTGACTTCTCTAAATTTTTGAAGAAATTCCCCTGTACTGTAGCTGCATCATTGGTTCTTGGCTTAATTTTTTCAATCAAGCAAAACTTTTTAAATACCTCCCATGAAGTCTTTTAAGCAAAATATTTTTGAGTCTGCAAAAATGTTATGAAACTTTGCCAGTGTGCAGAAATTATTTATTAAATGTGCAGGTTTGCAACAACAAAACATTCTGAGAAGTTACTGGTCTATGGGCCAAAAAAATTTGGGGAACACTGGTCCAGACTACGGATTATGAAGTGTCCACATGTACTGTTGTAGAGCAACCAGCCAACCTGGGGATGCATATTTCCAGCAAGATGTTAATGACTTATTGTAGGGGAGGGACTACTGTTGGCTGGCACCAGCCAAACTATCACATGTAGCAGGGGGTTTTCCTCAACTTCCCAAATTGTTGTACTTCATACAAGGGGTCTAACAAAAGTTCTTGGAATATAAAATGATATGGCCAATAATTGAGCTGAAGAACAATTATTATTTAGGGAAAGCATGTTCTTTGGCACAAGAAAAAAGTCAGCCCTGTTTGACCCTTTTTTGAATATTTAGCAAAAGTCTCCCTGGCAGAGTTCCACTCAGAAGATGACTCACCCTTCCTACAGATTTTGCTGTTGTAGCCCAGCTTTACCCTCAGAATTCTCAAAATCAACATGGGATTAATTCAAAGAATATGGTGGAATTACCTTGGAAGACCTGAAGGCAACGCTTGGAATCAATGCCATTTTGATTTCAAGAATTCTGAGAGGAAAGCTGGGCTACAAAAATAAAATCTGGAGGAAGGTGGAACTCTGGCAGGGTGACTTTTGCAAAACATTCAAAAAAAGGTTCAAACAGGCCTGACTATTTTCTTGTGCCAAAGAGCATGTTTTCCCTAAATAATATTTGTTCTTCAGCTAATTTAAAGGCATTTTCAATTTATATTCCAAGAAATTTTGTTAGACCCCTTTTGTATCTCACAAACTTACCCATTTTTTTAGATTTCATTGAAAAATAAATACAACTTGACCATGGGATACTTGTGTAGCACACAAGCATCCACACATTTGAGGTTTTTGAGAAAAAAATGGATTCAGGATAACCCCTCTCTCAACCTAATAATAATTGAGCAACAAGTGTTCAGAGTTTGAGGACTTGACTGCCTTGGAGGGAGGTAGTTTTGTTGACTGGTGTCAGCCAAACAGTCACATATGGCTGGGGGTTCTCCCCAAAATTTTCAAATTTTATTTGAGGCCTGGAGCCCGGAGCAGCCAAAAATTTTGCCTGCTCCAGGCTCTGCTCCGCTATGGCTAAAATTGCTCTGCTCCAAGTCCCTGGATGAAATTTAAAAAAAATTTTGGATTCATGTTTTAAACCTGTGGATTAGAATTAGAATTTCAGGGGTTACGCTCAAGGCAAAATCCATTTTTAAAGAATTTTTTCTGTGAGCATAACCCCCTTGAAACATTTTTTAGCCTGCTATCTATCCTCCCAGAAAATTCAAATTGAGACCTAATTTTAAAACTTCTTGTTTTGAGCAAATCCCCTTTAGATGCAATGTTCTGATACATTTCAACCTGCAATTCACACTTGAACAGAAGATTGTCCTCAAAAAGTTGTATTCATTTGGATTCTTTATAAATTTTTGGAATTGCAGATTTTAAAAATTTTTTCTAGCGTTATCTTTTTATGTTAAATAACATGAATGTCTTCTCAATTATGTTATAATTATAATTGTGTATGATTTTTGCTATTTTTCCATTTTATAGCCATGATGTAAATCTGAAAATTTTTTCGAATTTTTCCCGATTTTCTGTTGGAAAAAAGTTAGTGCTACAAATTTTGTCTGCAGTATCAGGGGGGAAATCGCCCCAAAAATGTTCGCTTTACAGAATGTTTGTAGTACGATGTGCTCGTATTACAAGTTAACACTACTTAGTTCTCCGGTTTCCCGCTGGGGCGTCGCAGATGATACTGTTTCTGGAAATATCCTGCGACATATCAAAGGTTTTGATTAAATTTTGTGTAAGGATGGAAAATTCTTGGGGAGTTTTCAGCTGGCCTAATGATGTTCCCTATTGTCCTGGACACTGTCTTGCTGTATAGATAGCTTTTTCTTTCCCTTTCGCCCCCTTCGATGTCCCTCGAATTGAGTAATGTACAATGTACTTCATATTTTTCAGGTGTGTGTACTATCTTGGTGTATTTTTTGATATTTTACAGATTCTTTGAGGGATAAACCGCAGCGGGGTCGCACGCGTAAGCCTACGTATGTTTCCAGCACGACTTATTTTATCGTTTATGCTCGAAATCGGGCTAATCCAGAGTCAATAGATCCGGAACCTTCTCTCCCTGATTGGCTGACAAACTTGTTGCAAACGGATCCGGAAGTTCGCCGAGTCTCGTCTGTTACCGCAAGCTCACCGGAGGTTTGCCCGGGCATTGAACGTGCGTGACCGACGCCTGACGGAAACATTTTGGTGTTGCAGGAAGAGTTGATGAACAAGCAGCAACTGATAGCAGGCATGTTTGATTTAGCCAAACCGGGATCTGATGTACCAGTTGGTCTCGATGACTGGTATTTGATACCTTCGGAATACATCAAAGATTGGATTTCCGGTTCTATGCCGACATTGTGGGGAAAAGCGGAACCCGTAACTTTCTGTAAGCACAATCGAGTTTCCCCGCTGAGCTTGCGCAAGTACAAGTGCGTTCCGGCCGAAGTTGTAAGTTATCTTGGTCGAAGAGGACCTTCTGTTCTTTTATAGACGATAGCATGTGAAAGATGGGGATTATAAGCTAGATAAGTGATGACCTGAAAGTAAAAAAAAATCCAATGAAACAAATCAGATCGTCCCTTGCAGAAAATGATGTAATCCTGTTTTCGTCGAAAGCTCCGTTTGAGGGTGTTGTCTACTTTCCTTATCAAAAAGCCTGCGTATGCCCAGATGCCCTATTTCAAACTTCAATTTAAGCCAGAAAAAAATATTCCTTAGTTCAGAAAAATTAAATAGCTCTTATTCAGAATTTCCGTTATTCAACAAAACTGTCTGTTTGTGATTTTTCAATTTCGTCAAGTGGAAACATTTTTGAATCGCAGGAAGAACGTTGATATGGGTTGAAAAATGAACTTGTTCATTTTCTGTACAGTACTTCAAAGTTCCAGAAAAAAGGAGCTTGCAAAATTTCTTTTCTGATAGATTTCTCTTGTGAAAATGCATTGTTGAATTGATGTAAAATTTACTAAAATGTGTATGCGAAAGTTATTCCTCTGTTGAAAAAAGACGCGAGCAACTATAAATTCAGTACTTATCAGAAAACAGCATCGTTGCCTGGTACGCATTCCGGATGTCCAAGTACAACATATCCGATAGCTATTTATCGTTTGGGTCAGCTTTTTGATTTTTTAGCCAGTAGATTGGAAATTTCTGGTTTTAAGGGAGATTTTTCACGGATTTTTAGGCAAATGGAGTGGCTTGTGCTGTCATCAAAGACCTTTCGAAGTTTCGTTACCGTGACATTTGTCGGATCTGTGTTACTCGGAAAGCAAAATTGGAAGTGTCAACGCGTGAGCTTGCAGAAGACATAGAAACGTTTGAAGAAATTCTCAAGGTTGGAACTCCCAGGTGCGTGCCCGAACCTTCTGCGGTTGAGAAAAAAGAATTTCGAGCGTTGTTTTGTCATTCAAATGTAGATCGAGAGGTCCGTACGTGTGGGTTGGTAAAGAGTCATTGATGAGATGGTCAAAGCTGGCTAACTACGTCATTTTGAACGAATCTAACGATCGTGACGCGGTTGTTCAGAGGGATGAAATCGAGCAAGTTGAACATTTGGCTAGTTATGCGGAACTCGGAACGAACGACAAGGAAATTCCCGCGAAAAAGTCTAAGGTTATCTTGGATCCATCTGCGTTCTTCAACGAAGAGATCCTCTGTCCTCACGGTTAGTCAAAGCATGGCTTTTTTTCCAACATCGCTTTTTCAATTACAGGTATTATTTTTGTTCAGGGAACTTGGGCGATGAAACTTCTGAATGGACCTTGGTACCCCCCGACGCATGGAATATATTGCAGAAGTACTTTCCGAATGCCCCGAGATTTGAGAAGATAGATCGCCGGTGTGTTGAGTGTGAGAAAGAGGATCTCCTTTTGGCTGAAAAAGCAGAAAATTTGAAATCGGTTGTTGCCGAGTTGAAGGCATTGCTACCTTGGGTCAAATCAACGAAGTCGAGATTTCAAATTATGGGCGATGATAATCATGTGGTATTCGTACCCAGGGATTTTGTCAAGCAACTCGAAGCTTTCATGAAGTAAGACACGCGTTATGCATTGATTTTTATGTCTTCGTTATTCCATTTTAGCATTTTTCTTCATTTTAGAGCTCCACATCTTTCTGACGAACCTCGAGAAATGGATTGTAGCGAGTACATATGTGCCCATAGTTTGTTGAATATCGATCCTCGCCAAAGGATCATGTCGATGCAAAATGGGTGAGTGCCCAATAGTTTTTGAGGAAAGTGGCTGCATTTCGAAAATGGTCATCGTCTGTTTGTGTTTTGTGAAATAATGTGCATTCACGAATTAACTGTATGACGTTCGAGAATAGTTGAGAAATTCGTTCTTCTTCTGCAAATTTTGCTTTTCGAATACTATTTAAAAAATAATTGATTCGTGAAAAGTTGCAAAATTTTATCTCTCGTTACCCCTCGTTGAATCAGCCCGTCTGCATGCATATGGGTCTTCATGAAAAGTTTAAAAGCAGCAGGTCCTTGTCACTGCTTTCTACCATCCTCTTGGGATGCAGTAAGCTGTTCATTGAAGTGTCGCTACAGAAGTACAACTTCTACAGTTCTACGCATTGTCTATGAGCTTATATCAAGCTGATAGCTTGCTGAATTGGTGTGGTTCCTTTTTAGATTTCTTCCTGTTACTGCAGAAAGCTTTGAGGTTGTGGAGGAACGATACCAGTGCCTTTTTATTCTAAGGGGCTATTTGGGTGATGCAAAGTCGAAACGGACATGGAGTCACGTTGAGCTGGATCCAGGTATGTATTCATTTCTGAAATCTGTATTTTAGTTAACCAGAACAATGCGCAGACGTTTGTGAGATGTGTTACGAAAAGCGGTTGGAGCAAGAGAAAAATCAATCACTGATTTATAGCACAAAACCAATCTTCGTTCAAAAAGTGGGCATCAGAAAAGCAATTCTCACGGCAATCGACAGGGTAACAGATTTGACCGGGATCATATCGCGGGAAAAATTGGAGGTTTCGGAAAATGAGGTGAGTTTGTTGAAAAGAAAGTTCATGTCGTGACGTTTTATATTTTAATATCCCTTACAGCTTAAGGAAATCGAGAAAAGGATCGGTTTGGATGCACATTTTAACGAAGTGAGGCGCATCACACGTCCGAAAAATTCCGCCGAAGAGAGTCGTTTCGTAGTTTCGTCTACGGACACCCTCAAATCTTTGAAGCATTTAGTTCGTATCTCACGTTCTATCGTACGTGTCATTGGACAGATTTGAAAATTATTCGGTTCTTTCCAGATTGCCAAAAGGTTTACAATTCCTCTCAGTGACCAGCGGTTGTTCTTCAATAGCCGTGTGCTTCTTGGAGATGAAAAAACCTTGAGCGAATTTGAAATATTACCTTTTTGCCACTTGAAAGTAGTCGTAAGTAATATCATTTCCCTGCCATGTACTCCATTTATTATAGGATATACTGTACCACATATATATGTTTATGTATATATATACTGGAAAAAAATTATATGCATATATATGCTGTATTTATAAATTTTTTTCCAGTATGACGATGCCTTGTTCGGTCAGAACGTTGCAGATCCAAGACCACCTGGATTTCATGGTGAGTGCATAGAATCACCGTTCTGTTCATGTACTGTACGTATTATTGCGGGTATGTTTCTATTCACTATTCAGGGACAGGCCTCAGCTCCGTGCGAATATAGCTTCTGATTCCGCTTGGAATAGAACGCTTTGCTCGAAATGAAGTGGTGGACTGGAGCCGATTTCGGTTTGCCATAAGAATGTTGATTTTGTTCTGGAATTCCTATCGATCGTGGATTTGTCGATTTCTGAAATCATTCAAGCATCCTCTAGGTTTGGATTGAGCGACGACGGAATGTGAAGAAAAATTTGATGTTCACGACCGTGTATTTTTCCGCTTCTCGCGCTGACAGTTCTGAGTTTTTACCGTCGTGGTTTGACTTTCTTCGCATTGAATTCGTTCTTAATCCATGCAGTCCAAGTTCCTCCAAGTCGAGGAGGGAACATATGCGTTTGATGTTGAGCAAATCTGTGCATAATTAGTTAAGCTTCCCTAGCGAACACATGCGATGATGCTCCATTTGTGTACCGCAGGACCAATTTGTGTTCAGAATCAATGTCCGCATGCATTGCTTATTTTTATGGCATGGCGATGATCTCGGTTGTGATACGTGTTGAATGTCTTGATAAGTTCATCCGAGGGGTTGCACCATATTTGATGCTTCTGTTTCAATAAGCGTTACAAGACACGACATCGATGCACTTATGAAAGCATTTCCTTCTTCCTATGGGTTAATTTTTCGTGTTTTAGATGGGTTATGTCACAATTTTTTGGATTCCACGCTCACGAATTATTCGATTGATGTGCAGAAGCAGTTCGTCGCTTTCCCCTAAATTTCGAATAGCGAAATTATATCTGCCGATTTGGCTGATTCATACTTCATGATCGTGCAGATATGGTTTATTATCGCCTAAAAATGCGGCTGTGCTTAATTGGTTTCATCTCGTACTTCAGGTCTTTTAGTTTCATTCGCGAAGTTTTCGATGGGCTGAGATAAGATGAAACCAGTGAAATCATTTTTTATGTCCCATATTTATCTTATCGGTTTAAAAATTTTGAATCTGACTGCTCGAAGCTTTCCCTCGAGATATCTATCCCCCAGGATATTAAAAGAATTTCGCCTTCAAACCCGGTGTTCGGATTTCCATGATCTTAGTTCGTTCACGTTTATTGAAACCGGAATGTGTTCGGCGAGGAAGCTTCATCGCGGAGGTTTGGCTTCTCTCTTTATCGGGTCTGAAACTGGAGCTGGTGATATTCTAACGACCTTGAACCAAGGCCGGAATCGTTACGATTGGAAGTACCTGATCGCCAGTAAAATTCGTTTTCTGCAAGTGGTTCAACAGTTATCCTTCGCCGTTGAACGTTTCTTCGGTGTCGGGAAGATTATTTTTCACCGTACGTTTCGGATGAGTTCTGTCTAAACTTATCGTGTTATTTGATCGTGATTTGTTGACGGCTTGCTTTACTTCTCGTGATTTTCTTGAGCTAAAATCTTCGATAATTATCTTGCATCTTCTCGATGTTTCATCGCTCGGGGATATTGACGCTGATTCAAGCGAAGTGATTCATGGATGTCAGCCATGTTCAAGTGTATCGCTTCGATAGCGACGTGAGCTACGGATTTTGCTAGCGTTTACATTGAAAAAATTGAGTGAGATTTTTGCACGGGAACAGAAGTCCGGTTCCTGTTTTTATATCCTCTTGTGTTCTTGTAGTTTCAAGGTACTAGTTGCATTTTTTCATGTGAATGGTGTTCTCTCTATGTTCCAGCTTCGCGTAACTTACGAAGAACTGAAGTCGGACGGGACTGTGAGCTATGCGCGAGTTATTCTTCTCGAAAATTTTGTGCTTGTATCCATAGCAGTGTGTATGCTCGAAGTTTCGGAAAACGAGATCATTTAGTGAGGTCATTGGGCTGCAGTTCCTACTCATCTATGTAAATTGTTCTTGTGTAGCAATATTTTGTGCGTTATTACATCTAAAAACTGCTCGTTATTCTGATTGGTCATGTTCTTCATACTGTTCATGTAGTTCTTTCCAGCATGTTAGTATTTCAAAAATGCTGAGCGATGTGTCGAAACTGCATTTGTCTGCGAACACGGGTCTTCTGGCGCAGCCAGATGATCCGAGTTCGCGTTCTCCGAGACACGGACCTAATATTAATGGTTCATTGAGTATCCATGGAATGCATCTTGCTGCTGTGAGTGGAGATAAAGTGAAGATGATGAGCTACCTAGCAGGTGAGCTACCGTAGTTCCTTTGTTGACATTTGATTTCATGTTCATCTGTACTCGTTGTTGCCTGTGGGATGTATCATAGAATTATTCATGAAAAAATTGATGGTTCTCTTTACCTGAGTCGACATTCCTAAAGTGAATTGCGAATCAGGTAAATTGTCTTTCCCATTTGTCTATTTTAAACAAATGGGGAAGATGAAATCGTACGTTTGTACTCTTCCCCGTCAGTAAAGCTTGGGTCTAAGAGAAATTAATTTTTCATGCGCGCGCGAAAAGATAACTTTAGCGTAAATCAAGAACATTTAGATTGAAAAAGGGAAACAATTCTGAAATGATTTGTGAGAAAGAGTGAATTTCATCTAGTGGGACCACAATTCCTTGAGATCCGTGATCGCTTGGGGCGCACGCCGCTGATGTATGCAGTATTCGGCGATAAAGAGATTGCGGTTGAGTTCTTACTGAAAGCCGGCGCTCGAATTGAATCGCATGACATGTTTGGCAGGACGGCTTTGCATTATATTGCGCACAAAGTGAGTTGACGTAAAGCGTTGTCCCGCTTGACATAAAACGTACTGTATAATATTTCAAGTTATTGAACATGCTTCTTCTTTGTTTCACAGGATAGAATTCAGTCGATGAAGGCTATCATCTGTAAACTTGGCTTGTCCAAAGCTTTGGTTGATTCACTTTTGTGGCAAGATGGAGAGATGTGCACCCCCATCCATCTTGCAACGAAGCATTTGGATTGTAAATTACTCGGTATATTCCTAAAAAAAACCCTATCGGAAGGAGTGCACATTGATGTTCAGGATCAAGCGAAGGTTAGTATTTACGTATCGTAGTTTTCAGATATTATCCGGAGCACACCATGACGCTTGAGAATATCCAAGGAGAGGATGTTTTACGTTTGGGCGCTTTTTAATACGTCTTTTTCACCAAGCCCGGCTTGAAATCGCTATAATCGTGTAATCGTAGTTGTGTATGGTTTATGTGTTTATATGTACTTTTCCGTTTGGAATTCTTAAGAAATACCAGTACTGTGCAAGATTTTGTAACAACTTGATGGAATCAAAAAATAATGAAGGGCTTTTGTCTTGATGGCTGATCGGTGTAGAGAACTCCGCTGCATTGGGCTTGCTTACATGCGAATGCGAAAGCCGTTGGAATGCTACTTGCAAATGGCGCAAATGGAGGAATATCTGATGTTGAAGGAAGAACCCCGTTACATTGGGCTGCCGAGTTCAATGCGAGAGGAACTTTTCAATTTCGAGGAAAAGATGCCGGGAAATGCATTTCACTTATCCTCGTGAGTCATGGAATGATCGAAATTTCAGGTGGAAATTAGTTTATTCACCTGATTCGCAGGAGAAGTCTCCAACGCTGATAAACAGGCAGGATTTTTCTGGCCAGACGTGTCTTCACGTCGCAGCAATGAACGCGAATCCAGATATCATCTCGTCATTGTTAAACAAGTATAAATCTTCTGTAGCAAATAAGCGTCGAGCCGTATTACCCGCGGTGAACCTTACCGATCACAGTCACCGCACTCCGTTGCATTGGGCATCTGCTCTTGGTCATGTTTTTGCTGTCCAACTCCTTCTTAACCACGGAGCTGATTTGTGCGCAACTGATGTCGGAGGTGCCTGTCCTTCGCACTATGCAGCTCTGAATGGTCAACTGGTGAGATAAAACCTTCTGTATTTTCACATTAAATTTCAGAAGTTAAATGGGAAGCTAGCTTTCTTGAAGCTGGAATGCTTGGATTAATACCAATCGTTTTCAAATGCATTCCAGGATGTTTTGAAGTGTTTGCTTTGCGACCCGAGAGTTATTGAATCAGTGGATCAAGATGGCAACACCGCCTTCCACTGGGCGACAGCTGCTGAACATCACGGTGGAAGCTCTCAAATAAGCGCGGTCCTTGCTTTTCTGATCCAAGTCGGCTCAAATATTAAGGCGATCAATAAGTTCGGACTTACGGGTGAGTTTTGACGGGGTTCCATTCTGTTCGGTGTGATGATATAGACTAGAGAACGTCCCAATTCTTCCATTGTTTTTCGTCATTAATACTAATCATATTAATTATGTATACGTTATGCTAAACCTTGTACTAAATGATGAACGAGATGCGCATGTACAAAACTGAAATTCATTGGCTTAGTTGTGAAGAGATAATTAGAATCCTCGTTCTATTTCTGTAGCACTCCATGTTGCGGCATCCTTCGGTGACGTGAGCGTGATGAAATTTCTGATCTCACAAGGATGTGATGTAGACATGAGGTGCAACGAGAGTGGGGGTATCACTCCCTTGATGCTAAGTTGTCAGAGAAATCACATGAATGCTGTGGAATGCTTGATCGCTATGGGCGCGAATTTGAATACGAAAGATTTTACTCACGGAAGGACAGCGTTCCATCACGCTGCTGCCTCCGGAAGACTATCCGTCCTTCGATTTCTGGTTGTAATAATTATATTTCTTACATGTGTTGGATGTTCAGATTACTTAAAAAAGTGTAAATATCGTTAGGTCACGCAAGGGATCGACATCAATGCGAAAGACAACGTTGGTCAAACAGCTGCTCATCTCTTGGCTCTCGGTGGTTTTTGTGATCCTATTGCGTATTTGATCACCCGCGCGGACTTCCAGATGAATATTCAAGACGATTTTGGACTCACGCCGTTGCATTGCGCGGCAGGAAAAGGACATGTTAGCGCTGTTGAATTACTCGCGAATGCTGGAGTGAATCTCGATTTACTGTCGTGGCTTCCTGATCGGTAAGAAATTTTCCGTCGAATGTCAGCTCTGCAAAGAATGTCATGTCTATTGCCGTAAATGAATAGGTAACTTGAATCTGTTCCGCGTAAATTACAATACTGCTTTAAGCTCTGCTTTGTATCGGAATGTATGAGCATTTTTATTTGAAACTTGACCAGTTGCGGTTTAAAGTTATTGTATGTGTGAAGTTTCTGTCCTTCGAGATAACGTACATGCCGTATTAAAAAGAAAGGGTATCCCGATTTCGTTTATTCACGTATTTCACAAAGCCCGACCGCCTTGGATCTTTCTATCTGGAATGATCAGCCTGCTGTCGCAGAATTTTTGAAAGCCAAGAATGCATCTTCTGCAGCTCCGATATTGCATGCCAAAGCGAAAACCTTACAGGTAAGTTGGAAGAGCGAACTTTTCAGCAGGTATGATCCTGTTATTTCTTTCACTTCAGTCGTGGTATCGGCGTAGTATCAGAGATCGCAAGATTGTTCCGGTAAAAATATGCAATAGGAAAACATCCGGGCCTGGAGATTCTGGCATGACAGAGGTTCTCACGCCCGAAAACGCACGAAAGCCGAAGTCGGATGCCGCAAGCTCCATGTTCTTGGAAGGAGCGGAAAACGGCTTGTTCTCGGACTTGCAATGCCCGGAACGATTCGATTCCATGAGATTTGCGCCGAGGTATCATTCTGAGCTATTGTCGCAATAACATCCATTTGAATTAATGTGCCTATCCTGCAGAGCAAGTATTGGAAAGTCGTCGGAAGAAATTTTGACGTTCGGAAGTCGATCATGTCCGAGGAAGAACTTGAATCGGGGCCCTGGAGCTGAATCTGGTTCTGGTGATGACCCTGTGTGGAATTCTAGTTTGCGGAACACGCATTTGTCCTGGGGTATGCAAACAGAGACAGACGCATTGGAATGGAACGTGCCCTGCATTTCAGGATGCAGCAGTACGCAGGGTGCGTGGCACTGTATCTCCACTCTGACTTTAAGCTGCGCGAGAGCGACGGTTTTCAACTTGCCGTGTGATCAAGATGAGGTTTGTGAACCTTCTGATAAGCATGTCGTGCTTGTGAACCATTTTTGTATTCGATTGAATTATCGTTTATTGCCGGTTAATATTGTAGGATGATTTTTATGGAATGGACAATGCGGTTTGTCAGTCTGACGAAGAAACTGGGGAAAGCTTTGAAGACGCGTCTAAAAGCCATGATTTCCCGAGTTGTGACGTTGGAAAATCCGAAGTTACTTTGAGAGTGGACGAGAGCCATGTCGTGACAGACCATGATTGAAAAGACAACGAACTGACCTTGAATTCAACTTTTCTTTTGTTCGGCTGAAAAAATATCTAGGTATTGTATTGAATGTGAGTAAAAATTCGATTGCCTTGAATGTCTGAAAGGTGCTCCAGTGGTCTGATCATGACCCGATTGGATTTTTCGAATGATTTTTTAAACTGCTGATCTTGTAAGTTAATGGCACATCAATGGCTGACTGTCCTGTGATCCTGCGAATGTCCTCCGCCGAGGTTGGATGTGATGTCAAAATTTCGAGCCTTCGCGCGAACTTGTTCTGCGTGATTGTTTTCAGTTCTCACAGGCATCCTGCTTTTGTTCGTATGATTCAACCGTCTTCGTCGCGGGACTTATCCGTCTTTGACGGCGTGTTCAAGGATTTTGGTTCTTTTTTCAAGCCTTGCTTTTTAGCAGCATTTTAATTTAATGCTCGAGTGTGATCTTCATTTATGCGTGGCCAGATCGGCGATCATGATCCCACCGGCACCAGGAAGAGTTTGCCTAGCATTTAAGATGTAATCGGTTGCTTGCCTTGTGAGGTGAACGTTTGGTACCAGAACCGCTTGAGGATTCGATGTACAAAATGAAATAGATAAATCTTCCCAATTCTGCTGTGTTTTCAGTAAAATGCTGAAGATTTCGTGTTATTTAGCATAGTACTATTTTTACAGGTCGCACCTGATGATGACAATCGACCTTCGGTCTTCACACGCGACGAAGACTGTAGAAGTGGGTCGACTTCACGTTTTAGTGAGTTTTGTGATATCGTCATGTTTCGGCGTGTCGGTGTTTATGTTAGTTTCTTACTCGTTCGTCGCATTCGTGCTACGCGTTGGGCGTAACGATTGTGAAAGCTTGTGGTGGAATGATCCGTTAGGACACGAAGCCGTGATCGTGAACTCGGCCATATTGCCGAGTAATACTTCCTTCAGTTGTGACTCCTTCTCGTGCTTCGATGTCAATCGGTGCGGTCGCCATCCCGAGGATGACGACCGACTCACAGTATACGTTTACCCGTACCGGGATTATCGAATGGATGATGGTTCTCCGGTTACGGAAGGACTCACTGCCGAGTTTTGGGAAGTTCTTCTGGCAATAAAAAGAAGTCCTTACTACGTCAGTGATCCAGAGGAGGCCTGCGTCTTCGTGCCATCAATAGATGCGTTCAATCAACTGCGGATTCGACCTCGGGAAACTGGTCAAGTTTTGGCGACGTTACCATTGTGAGTGAGATGACAGACGGTAAGGTTGAAGAGAAATGAGTGGCGCTAATCGCGCGGAGAAACGAAGGGGTTGGCATTTTTCGCATGTTGTTAATTTAATAGCCGAGCGGACGTGACAATTCAATGGAAACTCAGTTTTGCAAATCAGAGTAAATGTTTTAGATCTATTTCTAGTAAGTTTTATTTCCGACCCTATTAAGCCGGAGAATCCGACTTCTTCAGCAGATGGAGTGCAGTGATTCTGACTGAGCATTATTGTTTAAACTGTTGCAGCTGGAATGGCGGAAGGAATCACTTGATCTTCAGTATGGTCCTGAATGCCGTTCCCCGTTATCATGATATAACCAGTCTGCCGTCTGGTATGGCCATGCTTGCTGCCGCCGGGTTTCCAACGCGTGCATATCGCAATAAATTCGACGTGTCATTACCCTCTTTCTGGGGCCAGTCGAGTACCCTCCATTTAACCAATGAAAGGTAATTAAAAGTTTGAAAACGCAGGATTCTCTGGGCGAAGAAACCCGAACCCTGAGAAAATTATTGGAATTGTGAAAGTCGGAACTTATCCCCACAGCTAAAAAATCAGTATCGGTCAGTCAAGTCAGTGGATGCTGGATGTTGATGTGTGACTGATTTTCTCAGCGCGTTTTGTGGAACAACTCCACCTTCAATTTTGGTCTACCGTATTTTTAATAGTTGAGGTAGGTTAGGCTGGTCAAAATTTGGTTAAATTGTTTCTGTCACTTCTTTTCAATCGGTGGAATCATGACAAAATCCGATATCCCTTTTGGAAATTTACGCTTTGAACGCTGCAAGTCGTGTACTGTGAATCACGTTGAGTCCGTATTCCGTAGAAAAAAAACGGGGAAACCTGTGCTTTGTCATTGAATGTCGTCCCGGAATCTTTTATTACATAAACTCACAGCTGGGATGAAGGCGCGAAGCATTGGCTCGTAATGTTTCCCGGAAATTCTGTTCCCGAAAGAGCGCAGAAGATTCTCGAGAAGTTTAGTACAGCGAATGATGATTTCCTAATGCTGCGGACATGTGAGAACTCCGAAGAATACCCTCAACGACGTTGTCACAACGGAATTGCTGTACTTTATCCCTATGTGTTGAAGGTACGCGTGACGTTCTCCCGTTTCAGTTGCTATTAGGTGCATTAAAACGAATCTTCAATTTTCAGCGCGCGACCTTCTGTCTGATCTTGAGAAACGTCCAGTTGATGCCCTCCACATTCTTAGATGCTCTTTCAGCGGGCTGCATTCCGGTGCTGTACGCAGACGACTTGGTACTCCCTTTCGATGAAGTTTTAAATTGGTCCTTGTAAGGCTTAGCGAACATTGATTATGGCCTCCTTTATCAATGAGGTTTTTATTCCAGGGCTATTTTTCATTTTCGCGAAGAGGAACTCGAGGGAGTCTTAGACATTCTAAGGCGAATACCGGATGAAACTATACAGGGAATGCGAAAGCAAGGGCAATGGTTTCACGAGAGATATTTTTCTTCCCTCTCGAAAATTACGCTCTCAGTGTTGGACATCGTGAATGATCGTATTTTCCCGATGAAAGCACGCTCATATCAGTGGTGGAACGTTCCGCTCGACCACGTATGTGTCATTGACTATTACCATATGTACATCGTTATTAAGTGAAAACGTACTGTAAGTAAATTTCTCCAGAGAACGAAGGTTGGACCAGTCATTTACGCCAATTCGCCCCTGAAGAACGACGGGTTTACAGCTGTGATACTTACGTACGATAGAGTCGAGTCCTTGTTCGCTCTTATCGAACGTGTTGCGGAAGCTCCATCTGTTTCTTTGGTTTTAATTGTGTGGAATAACGAAAACAAGCCGCCCCCGAAAGGTTAGTGGATGTGAGGTCTGATTTAATCTCTTGTCCATTCACATTTTCGATTAATTTTAGCGTCTTTATGGCCGAGTATAAGCAAGCCCCTGAAGGTCATCCAGTCACGTGCGAATAAATTGAGCAGTCGATTTTTTCCCTATCGTGAGATTTCCACGGAAGCTGTTCTTGCGCTTGACGATGATATTTTGATGCTAACCATCGACGAGCTGGAATTCGGATACCAGGTACTGCGTGCGAGGAATTGTGATGGATACCGCGTTCGCTCGAATAAAAGCTGCGTGCGATTATTCTTGTGAAATGTGCGGTAGAAAGTCCTCTTGTCTGATAAAATAATGGCAGCTCATATTTAAAAACTCCAGTACTGTACAGTACTTCGAAGAAAAATTTTCTTCGCGATGCTGAAGATTTGTACTTCGATAAAAAGTCTATTCAGTCAAAATGATCCTGAGATTTAGAATGTTAAACCATGTATTTTCCCTGAACGATACTTCTATGTCGCTTTTTTTTTAAATTCAAAATGAAAAACCCTGCGCGTAAGCTTGCGCGTTGCCCTTCGGTTTTTTAAGTCACATCTTCAAAAATCAGTGATGGTGTTATCAGTTTGGCATGCAAAAATAAAATAAAAATCTCTTAAAAAGGATCGCTGAAGGTTCATCGTTGATTTCGTTTAGAAATAAAGCATTCTCATAGCTTTTTTAAGGCTTGTTGTAGCTTTGATATATTGCAGGTTTGGAAGGAATTTCCCGATCGATTGGTTGGGTTTCCTTCGCGAACGCATTTATGGAACGATCGGAATTCGAGGTGGAAGTACGAATCGGAATGGACCAACCAAATTTCAATGGTGCTTACTGGAGCAGCATTTTATCACAACGTAATTTCGATAAATTCTCATGCGGTTTTTCGTGGAATAATTTCAACCTTTTGAATATTTTTCTTAGCATTGGAATCACGTATACACGTACGATTTCCCTTCGGATCTGCGTGAATGGGTGGATTTAAATTTCAACTGTGAAGATATTGCCATGAATTTCATAGTGGCTAACTGCACTGGAAAGTCTCCAATAAAAGTGGGTTCTATACTTCAATAACTGTGAGACACATTCCGTTTGATGTTATTTATTTCGTTGCAGGTTGCTCCAAGAAAAAAATTCAAGTGTCCGCATTGCATCAACGCTGAAATTTCTGCAGATGCGCGTCACATGTTGGAAAGATCTGATTGCGTTAACCGATTTGCGGAGGTACACCATAATTTTTCGTAAAATCCATGAACTGTGCTTTGATCTGCTTCGCTTTTTTCAGCGGTTCGGTTACTTGCCTTTGCGCACGGTCGAATTCCGAGCTGATCCCGTGCTGTACAAAGATCATTTTCCGGATAAGTTGAAGCTCTACAAAGACATAGAAAGCCTATGAGTGTTTTTGAATCTTATCTGACGTACTTCCCGAGGAGAGCATACAGAAAGTACTCCAGAAAGTGCTCGCTGTTTAGTTCAACCGTTTTTTCAATTGGTGAAAAACTACGTTGTCGTTCAATCACGAGTCATTTAATGTACTTTCCGTCCATAGCGTGCGATCATTCGGATTAGAGTTGATTACACATCGAAAGTGTAACCGAGTTAGTTTTACTATTCCCCAATTCTTGCAGTGATGCTCCGAACTGAGCATATCAGTCGCAAACTCTTTCACTAACGCAATGGATCATTCGATTTAGTCGTTATGTATCCACTCATATCAGTGTTGTTCAGACTTATAATTGTCTACGTTAATTCGAGGGTATTGCTGTGAATTCATTGAGATTGTCCCTGTACACCCACGTTGTTGTACTGCGAGCCATGTCGAATTCGTACGGATCATTCTGTGATACGCCATTGTTCAAAGCCTGAGAGGAAAAAAATGTACTTGAAGTCTTCGAGCATTTCTTCCGTTTCTGGCCTCTATTTTGTACAGTATTGACTAATGTTGGGATGTTGTTTTCAGATCAAGTTTACTCTTCAGAGCTTATGGAGGAAAAAGCCATGTTTCGCGCTGTCATCATTCTCCTATCTGTTGTGTTTCCAGCAATGACCGTGGATCATAGCAAATTCAAGACATGTGATCAGAGTTCATTTTGCCGGTACGCAATTGATTCTCCCTTCAATTCCCGAATAAGAACGATTTAATTGGGTCTCTAGGCGGAATCGAGGCATGCAAAAAGGGATGTCCGGCTATGAAGTGATACAGGATTCATTAGAAGTAACTGATGATGCCGTCCGTGCTATGCTGATCAACACAAAGAATCAAGTAGAATTTATCTTGGAGATAACAGCTTTAGACAAAAATTCGTTGCATCTGGTGATAAATGAGAAAAATCCTCTTCACCCGCGCTATGTAGTGAGAGATGCGTTGTTCGAAGATTTGAAGACTATCAAAGGGTAAGTTCGTGTAGCCTGTTGGATCTCAAAATTGCTAATTGGCCATTTTCCCTTCTCAGGTTCCATTTGGAATCCAAAAATACTGAGAAAGCCGTTGTGGAGATGGGAAACTTCCATCCTGCCTCGAAGATCGAGCTCAAATTCAAACCCTTCACTTTGGACCTTTACTCCGGTGGAGATCTGGTCATATCAACGAATTCTCGTGGATTATTCAACATTGAACATCTGCGAGAGAAAAAGTGAGTTCGTTTACGTGACACATCATCGACATCAGGACTTCCGATGTTTTTTTTCAGGATCGGCCTGTTGTATTTCCTTTGAATTTTCCATTGTCGAGTTCCTCTGCCCAGCTGTGGGAGATAGTGACAAAACTTTTTTTCGGTTGATTCTTCTTCTGTTTTACAGAAATCCTGCACCTGCGGTTGACGATGCTCCAGCTGATAGCGAAGAATCGAACAAAATGGACTCCGATCATCCAGGCCAGCCGGATGAAGATGATGTGCCTGGCATGTGGGAGGAGCACTTCCAGAGTCATTTTGATTCGAAAGTTCGGGGTCCTGAATCCATATCTTGTGATTTTTCTTTCATTGGGGCTGAAGAGGTGTATGGAATTCCGGAGCACGCTGATAATTTCGCCCTAAAGGAAACCAAGTACGGAATGCATTGAGTTTTTTTTTTTTTTTCTAATGAAAATGGTAATTTAGGTCGTCAGACCCGTATCGATTGTACAATTTGGACGTTTTTGAGTATGAAAGCTGGAGTAAAATGGCCCTATACGGATCTATTCCATTCGTCGTTGCCGTTGGGTGAGTAAATCATTCAACCATTGAAAAAACAGTTGTCGGATGAATCGGTCTAATTGTGGAAAGGAGATGAAAATCGCCCCAGCCTGAGCAAGTAATTTACATACTTTTTATTTATTTTTTAAGTGAGAAGAGATCTGTCGGTCTTCTGTGGCTGAACGGTGCAGAAACGTGGATCGATGTTCAGAAAGGACCAGAAACTGCCGTTATGTCATCGATTGTCAACCTGATGTCTGGATCCAACAGGAGGTCTCCACAGGTATTTTTATTTTCAGAAATACCCTCCACGTTACGCAGATTTCGACGTTCACTTTTATTAATAGGTTGATACTCACTGGATATCGGAGTCGGGTGTGATAGATGTATATTTTCTGCTTGGCCCTGGGCCGAAGGATGTGATGAGCCAATACGGAGCACTTTCAGGCAATACCCCATTGCCACCGGTAATATCCGACTCTTTCATGCTTGTGCATTTTTACTGATCCTATTTTTCATCTCATAGCATTTTGCTCTCGGTTTCCATCATTCTCGTTGGAATTATAATGACGAAAATGATGTAAAATCGGTTGATTCGCGCATGGACGAAGTCAATTTTCCTTACGATTTCCTGTGGCTTGACATCGAGCATACTGATGGAAAGAAGTATTTTACTTGGGACGCCGTGAAGTTTCCTCATCCGAAAGATATGATCGAAAATCTGGTCTCGAAAGGTCGTAAAATGGTTACAATCATCGATCCACATATCAAGAAAGACAACGGTTACTTCGTTCATGCCGATGCACAAGCCAACGATTTGTACGTCAAGAACAAAGACGGAAACGAATATGATGGTACAGTAATGGCTGGAAATATCATGTTTGTTTTCCTCCGTCAAGTAATTTTTTGTTCACTTAGGTTGGTGCTGGCCCGGTTCGTCAGGCTACTTGGACTTCTTCAATCCAAAAGTTCAGGAGTACTGGTCACAGCAATTCACCTTGGATAAATATCAAGGATCCACTTTGGACTTGTACACTTGGAATGATATGAATGAACCTTCTGTTTTTAACGGACCGGAAATAACCATGACAAAAGATGCGAAGCACTTCGGAGGATGGGAGCACCGTGATGTTCACAACATTTATGGCTTCTTACATGTAAGGGTGGCCGTAACTGTAGTTCATTTCGTTCAATTTGAAAATGTCCTATGTTTTCCAGGTCAAGTCCTCGTTTGATGGGCATTTATTGCGATCTGGGGGCAAAAGGCGACCGTTCATCCTTACACGAGCGTTTTTCGTGGGTAGCCAACGGTACGCGGCGGTTTGGACGGGCGATAACACGGCAAATTGGGACCAATTAAAGGTTTGTTTGATGAATATTTTCTCATTCCCTAAATTTCTTGTGATCCTGCACGAGTCTTCTAGTCTCACTTATGTTGAGTATCGTACTTTCATGGGTACCGTTGTTTGTATATTTTACGTGAAACATGAAATCTGTCGTCTGCTTACGTGTGTTCCAGCTTACGATCCCCATGTGTTTATCATTGAGTATCTCCGGAATTGGATTTTGTGGTGCTGATGTTGGAGGCTTCTTTCAAAACCCCGACGAAGAATTGTTGATAAGATGGTATCAGGTGCGTACTTTTTCAGAGTGAACGTAAGTTCCATCATGATGCTTTAATGAGCTCTGTCATTTGTTTCCAGGCCGGTGCATTTCAACCATTCTTCCGTGTGCATTCTCACATCGAAACTGCTCGTCGTGAGCCATACTTGTATGGCGATGAAACAAGAGGTCTCTTGAAGAAAGCTGTGATGCAGCGTTATACATTCATGCCTTACTGGTACACTTTGTTCGCGGAGTATGAGCACACTGGCGTGCCTCCGATGCGTCCTCTGTGGATGGAGTTCACTGCAGATGGAAATACTTTGAAGATGGATGATCAGTTCATGCTCGGTGAGATGCCCATTCTATTCCGATGTGCCCTGGCTTTTCGTGATAAAATCCGATTGAATTATTATTACCCTTTAAAACTTGAAACCTCGTTTTTTTAATGCTGTAATTGCAACGAAGAACGTTTGCTGTATACGCTTGAATAAAGAAGTGGGCATCCATTCCGTTAGAATGCCGAGCGATGCGTGTTCTTAACATCTTCACTCAACGACCGTATGCTATTAGTTACATATTTTTATGATTTTCGCCAATCCATGTTCTGCAGGTTCCGCTTTGCTGATTGCACCAGTCCTAGATTCTCGAGCGTCCACTATAGATATTTATTTTCCGGGGACGGACGCTGAAGTTTGGTACGACATCGACACATTCAAGAAATTTGCGAAGCCGGGATTCGAACTTCTCGGAGTAACTATGGCATCGGTAAGGTTTTATTTAGTTTTTCATTTTGTGTTCACCTTCATTGCCATGAATTTCGCACTGTTCAGATCCCTGTGTATCAACGCGGTGGAACTATCGTTCCGAGAAAGATGCGTGCGAGAAGGGCTACGTCGCTCATGTTGAACGATCCCATCACGTTGTTCGTTGCGTTGGACAAGGTTTGTATTGTAATGTCGGTCTGGTCTATGTTCGTCATAATTTTAATTGCGAGTTCTCGCCTAGGGCATGCGCGCGAACGGTACTTTGTACATGGATGAAGGGGATGGTTATGAGTATCGCAATGGCAAGTACGCATTGATCGAATTCTCGTATCAGAACGGCGTCCTAAACGGAAGGTACATTCTCAACTGTTCACCCTGATGATCCGACCCTGAGGAGTTCTTAATATATTTCAGGAACGCTAACCCAAGCGGTGGATTTGAAAGCAAGACTTGGTTGGAACGAGTCGTGATTCTGGGAATGAAAGCTGCTCCGAAGTCCGCCTCTATCGTAGTTGGAAGTAAGCAATTGTTCCATTGAATGTTTACTCTCGAAAGGGGGGGGGGGGGGAATGTGAACCTGTTTCAAATACTTCGTTAATTTTTTCACGTGATTGATCCGCGAAGCCGTAATTTATCGAAACCGCAATAATAAGCAATTATTTTGCAGAAATTGAAGAAGCACTGCACTTCTCGTACGATATTGCTTCTGAAAGCTTGACCGTCAGAAAACCGGGCATTCTCATGACGACGTCAAACTGGAATCTCATCATAGGATGAGATATGCTGTGATTCACGTTCTCAGCTTGCTGCAAATCATTCCTTAACATTATTTCTGTTCTGCTGTCGCCGCCGAGAGACTGATATTTCATGAAAAGATCCTGTTCTGAATTTCCTAGTCCTTGTGATCATCTGAAGATGTGATATGCAAAATTGCTCCTCATGTATTGCCGACTTCCCTCGGTATGGATGCTCATCTGACTTTTCACATGAGCATAGAAAGGCTTGATTTTCTGTTGCAACATTACTCTTCTCCAGGCTCTTTCCTATGGTTTTCTTTTCTCCAGCTCTTTTTTCGGAGAAAGCCAAGACGGTTTTTGCAAAACCGATGCGTATGCTCTTTTTTATTTTGGCTATGACGAGGCATCAAGCTGAAAATCGGCGTCTTTTAGGACTTCTTGAAATGAGCGAATGGAGATAATGCAAAAATCATCTTCAGGCTGGTCGCTGTATGTGGCAGAAGTATTTTCCTTGAAGTGGTATCAAAGCATGGAAGAACTTTCAGTGTTCAATATTCAATATTCATCAGACAGGAGTCGTTTTCTGTGAAAGGATCATCTTTATTTTCGACAGTCAGGTATTGTGCGTACTAGTAAAATCTTCCCAAACGATGATGTTTTCATTTTCTCTGTTCGCGTCTGGTGGCTGCATTCTTTTTGTTTTGATTTCTTTGATCAAGTTCGTGATTAGGCAACCTTTTGAGTGAGAAATGCGCGTAAAATGTGGGTTTTTATTCACTTTTATCCCCGATTCTCTGATCAGGCCTAGTTTTTGTATGTGTCGATGAGTATCCATCCAGACATTGATGGCGTAAATTCAAGTATGGTTTCTCAATTCTTTTAATTCGATGCTCAGCCGTTTCTGCGCGCTAGGTGTCCTGAAATGTTATTTATTTAGTTTTTTTGGGCTGAAGACCGGGCGTGTTGGGATTCATGTTGTCTTGTTTTAGTGGAGATTTCGAAGTACGTATTTCCAAGTAATTTCCAGTCAAGGCTTTTTGTGTGGTTGTTGAATTACGTTGTTGTGGATTGGTGTTCGGGGTATTTCGGCGGATCTCAGACAAATTAAATTTCTTGATGATACTGTCAGTCCGGCCACTTCCGAATCAGGCATTCAGCACTCCGTTTTCCTCTGAAATCTCCGCTGCTCGTAAATGGTTTGCTCGTGGAATATTCTGGCCTGTTGAGGTGGGGTCAGTAAACTACGTTTTGAATGGCTGCTTTTGGTTGTATTTCCTGGTAGCGGTATGATTTTCTCCTTGACTTGGTGTGCTTTGGCCTAAAAGCTGGTGTTCCTTTTTCAACAGGTTGCACTGTGTGTCGCGGATGCTTTTGTGTGAATGTGCTTACGCGCTTACCTCTCGAGACCGGTGATTCAAATCTTTGACCAACTGATAGAAAGCTTTCTTGGGAACTCATGATCTTACGACTTTATTGAATTTGCTGTTATGCGGAAAATGAAAAGGCTTCCCCATGTCTCGAATGAAAAATAAAGCGAAATGATGCTAAAATTACAATCGAATGATTCCACCAGCGTGAGTTACTCGTGTGAATCGCGAAAGACATCTACTGTCAGCACAAACGCTCTCAAAACCCTCAACAAGTCATTTTTTACAGCCTTTCGAAACTTCGGAATCAATACTTAGGATATCACGATTCGCCAGTGATCCCTTCGCCTTGAGGTGATCACGTTCTCCTACATGTTAATGGAAGAATCGAGCTAGAAGTATACAAGATCATTGTAGAATTGTCTAACGCTGAACCGTTCAGCATCCGTAAGAGAAATACAATGCCATCAAATTCGGATCAACTGTTCGGAGTCGTCTATTAAGCAGACCCTTTGATTCGGATTGCCATGGAATGCATTAGTCTTCTGACTAGTTCTTATGGCGTTAACTTGTTCTTCTTAATTTATTTGGTGGATTCACTCCGTGACAGTTCAGCTGTGATTTGTATGAAGAATATTTTGATTTTATGAATTTGGCTGGTTGTTGACTGAATAGGTCAGGTTGTGGTCGTGCCGTGGGGGCTGTTTTTTAGTCGTATGTACGTGTAGTGTGCCGAAGCACTCGCGACATCGACTTCTCCCAACCATGTTCGTCTGCCTCCGTTCATTCGCTGGAAAGGGGCGGACGATGTTCCGAGGGTGACCCAATTTACCTTACGCACGAAACTTTTTTTTTTTCATCTTAGGTTCCTGCACGAAATCTCCGCATGGGTCAGAACTTCCTTTTTCGCAGGAGTTTCGTCCGTCGGAGTATAATAATACTTCGTGACCCTTTTTCAAAGCTATCCTTTGTACGAGTGTCGTAGACACCGTTTAATGGATACTGTATAAAGAGCGCGGGGGAATATCACTTGAACGGGTAGGTTTCCTTTGTTTAGTTCAGTGCTGCCCATCATACAGATCTGGCCGCAGAGACTCTTCATCCATTCTGCAGTCCCTCCCCTATAATTTTCAAGGTGGCAGCCACCACTATTCAAAATACAGCGAGTATGTAATGAAAACGAATCTTACAATTCTAGATTTTGCTCCACCCTTCAAAAATACCAACAGACTATGTTTGCGACTCAATGCCTGACGCTGAATTGAATTTGAAACTATTTAATTAAAGGGACAAATTTGGAACCTCAAAATTATTGTCGTTGCGGCCTGAAAATACTTGTCTCCACCTCTGCGGTGTGGCCCCTGGAGGGCCTGGACACAAAAAAAAAAAGTATTAATGTGGCCGTCTTGGCCATATCTGAGTTGGGCAGCTCTGGCTTAGTTCGTATTATATGGCCCTTGCCAACTTAGGAAAAATCCTAAATTTTGTGCCTGTGTATTTTTCGCTGTGATTTAATGCTGCTTTCATTCAATTTCGCACACGAACACACGAACATTTTATTGCGTGTAATTTGAGTGAAAATTTGCTGGGAAACCCCCGTTGCCTTCGCCAGTCCGAAGGCTGAGTTCCGCGAGCTCCAGCTTGAGTTCGACATCATCGGATGTTCGATCGGACTCAACTGGATCTGTCGTGGTTATAATCCATGGCCAGAAAGTTTGCTGCTGGATGGAAACCGAGCGCTTCCGTAACCGATTTGTTAGCTATCTTCTCTTCCTAAGGCTTCCCTTTTTCCCCGGGGTTTTCTTTTCATTTTCGAGTGACATCTATAATTATTCTTACCTCTTCAATCCATGTGTTATTCCTGAGAAAATGAATGCAACCAAGGAAATTCCTGGATGATGTAGGTACATTTCAATTCCAGAATCGCTGGCCTCGATTGATTTTCTTCAGTGGTTAATTGCGATATTAAATTCGATTCATTGCATCTGTATCCATCGAATCGAACTTATAGTTTTACATTTACGTTGACGAAGAAAACAAGGTGGCAGAAATTCAGGAGAAAATGCCGCAGCGTATCTCCGAAGCTCTATCCAAGATAATTTTGAGGAACTCGTGTTAAAATCATCTAAGCCAGGGGTGCCCAAGATACAGCTGCGGAGGCCTTCAAACTGGCCCGCAGACCATCCCAACAAGATTGCCTTAGCTTAAAAAATATCTAGCAAAATTAAGAAATGTTCCTGTTTTCAGCAAGTTTTATGATGCATTTTCTTTATAAAGAAACTCCTGGAAATTATTTCCTTGGTGCTTCCAGTTTACATACAAGATACCAGAGAATAAGTTGGTATTTCTGGAAGCTTCCAGAATTTTCAGTTTTCACTCAGTCAGAGAGTGTGAACTCTAAGTTGCACACTCCCTGCTCCCATGCTTTCAATACACAGCTTTCTGCTGCAACTGTTCTCATTTTCAGGAAATTTTACACAAATGAAGCATAATTCATTTATTTGCAGTGCATTTTGTAAAGAAAATCAATTGAGAGTACCATGCATTGAACCATTATATAATTGTGATGAACTGAACGTTATGTTGTAAGTTCTTCATAGTGTTTAGGAGTATGTGCTTTTTTTTGTGCTGGAAAATATGGAGCAAGGATAACAAAAAATGCACTTAGAAAGAAAAGTATGAGTTGAATTGCAGCTCTTCCTCCAGAGAAAACATTGAAAATGGAGTTTTTGTTTTGCAAAAACATGCAACTCACAAATAGGGTTTGAGCACAATCAGGTAAATGGAAAATGCTGAGGGATTTAAGGGTAAAAAATGTAACCAGACTTTTTTTATGAATCGCTGAATTCATGGAGAAAGTACAGTACTTGAGAATAATTCCGATCTGCTGATTTGAACAGGATTTCGATTGGCTGAATGAGTTGCAGTTACTTCATTCGCCATATGTGGCCCAAACCCGCGTGTTTGGCCTCACACCGTACTATTGACGCAATTTATGTCCTTGATTGTGATGCTACTATTCGAGTCATTATACGACTGGTAAAAACGAAGAATTGTCAGAACGGATTTGGGTGTGGAACTTCATGGCACTGGTGGGGAGCTTGTCAGATTGGGTAGGGTTGACGGCCTGCGCACAAGTTCAGTTTTTCTCTTGCTTGGGTCACGCAGTGCGTGCCAAGGTTATTTTCGGCGTGTTCTTCTTCCCGTTGCTTCAGAATGAACGTCGAGTCTGTTTTACTGTGGTTTCCGGGAAGCATGAGAGCGCATCAGTATTCTCTGATATTTATCGAAGAGTATTTCGTCATCTATGAATGATTCGCTCAACCGGAATGGGAGGCAAATGTGCCGTCTCTGATTTAAATTTCTCCTTGAACGTAAATGAGGTGGCTCTTGGATCGCGTCACATACTCTGGTCTAATGATTGATATCCTTCCAGATAGTGAAATCGATGATCAAGTTTCGCACTGCTGTCGACTTCTTGCGACACACGAAATTATTCAATTAGAAAATCTGGAGATCTTAGTTGCATTTTAGCTCCTGCTTGTTATCCATCTTCGACGAGAAATGTGTGTGTGTCAATCAATTATTTAGGGAGATTTTTTTAATGTTTCGAAGTACGTGTTCTGAAGAATTTCAAGAACACTTCGTGAAAACTTGAAATTGGCTATCTTTGTGTGTTTGATGCTGGGTTTTTTCCTCTGATGATTATCCGTGGTTCATGCTTCATTCTGATGAGCCACCTGCTCTACATGATTGAACAGTTGGATCCAAGCGATACTGTAATACAGTATATGTTCATCATAAAGTCCTCATCGAGCAGGATTTGTTCCTAAGTTTCGTCAGTTATGTGCTTCCCATAGTTATCTGAAGTCCAAATTTTGGATATACGGAGTAGGCGTGATTTCCAAAGAAATCGTTCGTAAAATTCTGTTGAAATCGAGAGTAACAGGAAGTTGAGGTTATGGGTTGTCTTATTTTTTATCTATTTGCAAGCAATATCTAAGTGCTGCTGAAGGTTCTAAGTACAGTAATTGTAAAATCAGCGCACGGATGATCTCCAAGCTCCGCCAATTGTGTTGTATGGACAAAAGTAGCTTATTCCTGCTGTTGTAAATGTGCTCGTCGGTCATGCTAAATATCGACGTTGGCCGTAATTGTCAATTTTTGAGCAGGAATAAGTTGAATTAGTCGGCGCTGAAATCGAAAAAACCCCTAGCAAACGAAAGCTTCGTAATCCATTTCAATTTTGATGATATTCTGACTCACATATGAAATTGGATTGATGGGTACCTGCGGAAGAACTTCATTTTCAAGTTACTGTATAAACAATATTTCAATCCGTCCCTCATGGACATTTGGCAGTTTTCCAGCGGAAAATGTGATCGACTGATTCCCAACCTCTTCATCATCGGCATGTGAAGTTTCCGACCCTCTGTGCTCCAGTTGATCGTTCCTGAGAATCAGATGAGACGCGGGAGGTAACGGATGCGTGTTGAGAAATTTTCATCCCGCTGCCGCGCGTGTTTCATCATTCCTCGCTATAGTCGCTCATTCGTACGGTTCGCGCTTCGCGAAGCGCATCCCGTGCACCTTGTCCTGATTCCATTGCCGAGAGCGTGTTTGCGTCCTGTCCGCGTCACCAGCATTGTTTCTCGGACTTCGTATACTGTGTGGTTCATACGATATGGAGTTGAGTGCTTTTGACACAGTTCGGTTCGCGGTTGAATCTCCTGCAAAGTTTATCTGACTGCAGTGCAGTTTCCGGTCCCCGCTGTGCCATGCGAAAAAGCTCTGTGGCGCACGGATGTTTTTCTACACCTGTCCGATGTACTGTACAGTACAGTATTTTTAAATGCGCTCGCTAGCAAGCATATAATGTCTTCTCGTGCTCCACCATATCTCTTGAATTTGCTAAACGTTGTAACGCGCTTAGATTTTCTTTTTCAGTTCTCTTGAAGTGTTGAGATCATTTGAATCTTGCGTTTTCAGGTGTATGGTATATGTTGTTTGTGTGCGCGCAAGTCTACGCTGTTAATTTAACGTGTGATTGAACTTATCCGGCCATGTTCTCAAGTTTTCTTAATCAAGCGTTGGGCGGTGGGGGAGGTCAACAGCAAGGATCTGGCGGTGGAGGGTCAAAGTGAGTGTCAATCAATTTGGATTTATTTTCAAATGTGTAACTTCCTTCCCCATCCTCACATTTGACTGGAAACGTAGGCGCGTTTCATCACTGGGTACATATTAGGTATACTGTCGCTGAAGGGAACATTTTCTAGACGTCCTCTGTTGAATTTATGACGCCAGTCTTAAAAACACGCACTCCACATTAAAATAAATCACGAACCCTGATGTTTTCAATGAAAAATATTTTATTAAAATTAAAATTCTCTGCGTTTGGTCGTATAAATTCGACAGATTTTGCTACCGATCATTTGAAAAATCGTTTCTATCGCCTTTTTCTCGTTCCTCAGATTTCCCTGAAGAATAATTTTTATAGAGCTTTTTGTGGACCTCACTTGAAATAAATATTATTTTCAGTGATTTATTGGGAAATGTGCTCGGCGGTCTTGCTGGGAGTCTACTTAGTGGCGGCGGCAGTGGCGGCGGTAATCAAGGATATCCGCAAGGGAACTACGTTGTTCCCGGTCAAGGCGGTGGCGGCTATCCGGGTTTTCCCGGTCAAGGCGGTGGCGGCTATCCCGGTGTCCCCGGACAAGGCGGTGGTGGATACCCGGGTGTCCCTGGTTTTGGAGGGGCTCCTAATCCAGGATATGGAGGGGCAGTACTCGACGATATTGCATCACTCGTTGGTGGAGGTGGTGGGCAACCTGGCCAGACTGGGCTGCATTCCCATCGAGCCGGTCTGAATGTCAAGGGCCTATTCGGAGAGTTCGTTGAGGGAGGCACGAGGGCTGTTCTCAAGGGGTTCACCCATCAGCTAAAAGCTGGAATTAAGGATCAAGTTAAAAGCATACTGTCTCATCCTGACTTACAAGACTTCCGAGGGCGTTACCGCTTCCGGTCCACGCGGTCATTGAAGAAAGACCAAAATCCTAATCGTACTTGTTTCAAGGTTAGTAGAACGTTTTGTACCATTCCATCACCAAAAAATGTTTCATGAAAATATGCCGTCGTTCAAAACCTCTCCTTTTGTCGCGTCGAAACAAATCTCTCGATGGAATTTTAAATTTATCGCGATTCTCTGTTCTGTTCGAAACATGGCTTTTCCTTTAGAAATGTATTAAAAGGATCGCAGAAGGTTCATTTTATCCTGGCAGTCACACTGGCTTCTTCTAGGTAATAGAAGACCGCTCTGGTGACGCGTTTTTTTTTCTCTCTCCAAAAGTTCGCATCCATAGGCATCGCGAAAGTGGATAAATTCCTCATAAATAAGATATGCTCTTGTCGTTATAAAATGTGCATCGTGTGTTGTGAAATCCTTGAATTCATTTGTCGCTTAGTTGAATTTAAATAAATTTTTCAAGAAGAAATGTACCCCTCAAATTTCTTTGAAGTTTGTGCGAGAAATTGCCCTTGTCTTTCAATATTTTCAAAATTCGTAAACTACAGTATTTGGATCTGTCTACCGTACTCGTAATGTGTCATCAAGGATTTTCGATTATTTTCATGAATAGTTTCATAAAGCGTTTTGTTTCTCGAAACTTCAGGCCAGTGATTATACAGTTAAGGCTTGAGAACTCAAAGTCAAATGCCTCCCTATGTCGATTTTTTTTTTAAGTTAGTGTCTGAATTCCCTTAGAAACAATGCATACCTCTCTAACTCGAAGGCTTTCACCCTCATACCTCCATATAACTCGAATTTTCGAAATTTTTGCCTATTACAGTATTTTATTGACACGGGAAAGAGAAAAGCAATAAACAGTAACCTGATTTGTTTTTGGAAGGAATTAGAAGACCAATTGGGCAATGGACCCTTGCCTTGAACTTCATCTTCCTGTCAACTCATTTAAGAAGCAATTTAAGACCCAGAATATGACCAATCGCAATTTCCTGCAATTCTTTTCTCTTCACCTCAACAAAAATTCCCGTTTCCCCAACTGGACCTCCATAACTCGATTTTTTTCATCTCTTGAAGTTCGACTTTGAAAAGATTCGATTGTAGCTTTTTCTCAAGTTGATGTTCTGTAATGTGAAGTATAGCTTCGGTCTCTGGGTTGTTCATCAGAACAGTTTTGGGACTTTTCCGCAGCAAGTTCCAGATATTTCCTCCGTTTATAAAATTCGGAGCGAAATCCGGAAAAATTCTTCTCTCTGGTCCCAGTTTCTGGTCAATTTAGTCGATATTTAATATTGACTGCCATATGTTCGTTTGACGGAATAAAGCTTGAGCTTTATTGAGTGACTTCGAGAGAACACGGTTTCAGCCATCCATATTTAACTTCCCCTTGAAGTAAGACGCGAGGAAGCAAGTTTAGTAGGTCTTCGAATCCAAAGGACGTTTCTGTAATTTTTCTTTTGTTCTGATCGTGTGGTCGTAAAGCAACACTTCGGGTTCAGATGCGGATTCGGTTGTTTTGGTCCTGGTGCCCATGTGTCTACGGCCAATTTGTTGGAGCCGTTTCAAATTTTTCTCTCTTTTGTTCCCTCATTTGTAGTACTTGAAGGTATATTATGTATTCCTGACAAAGATGAATCTTGAAAGCTTCTGAGGAGTACTTCGAACGCAAACACGCTATCTCTGAGAAAGGTAAATATTTTTCGGGTTGTTTATGACGTCTTGTGATGTCGCTGCCGAGCTGTATATGAGACGTATTGGTTCTAAAAGGTAATTTTGTGAATCCTGCTGCCACATTTCTTGCGATTTGAAATTTCCGCTTGCAAACCTTTTCGTAGCGACACTTGCTTTATCGCGGGTAGATCTGCGACATAACTCCGGAGGCCAGAAAATCATGGCTTGTTGCCAAATGTCTCCGGCAGAAAAGTAAGAAATCCGCGAATATGAGTAATCGAGAGAAAATGCAGTTCATGAGAGAAACCGAAACGAAGCCATCTCTTTGTATTTCCTGGGTCAACGTTTCTGGGCGTGCGACCTCTCATTCAGGGACGCAAATAAATATTTACGCTCGCCTAAATTCATTTTACCTGTATTTTTCGCAACTTTCGGACGACAGTACGTACTTTTTGTGCTTGTGTCAACCGTTTAAAATCTTTCTTAAGAATACATACCATTTTTTAAATCAATTGTAATGATGTTGGGTTTGTTCACAGTATGCCTGTATTTATTTTTTATTCGAAAATAAGTTGTTCCTTTTCATATTCTAGTAATTCCCTTTTTGTGCGCCATTTATATGTGTGTGCAGTACTTTGCTGTGGTATATCTAGAAATTTCAACCTTTTGCTGAAAAATCCATCCGTTTTTACAATACTTGTCCTTCTGCTGGTTTAAAAAATATATTTCTGTTGCTGACCACTTAGTCAATAGCTGCCAGCATGTGAGGGCCAGAAGATCGAATGTATTATTTCCCGCAGATAAGTATTTTCTTTTTATTAATAAGTTTCCCTTCCTGCGCGTAGACTTCATAGACGCCGGGTGTTCCAACAAAATTATGGATTGTATCACGACAGAGCAGTACTGTAAAGGTATTAGCGCACCAGAATTGCCAGAACTGCTGGCAGTTCTGGGTGTATAATTTGACCAGGTATCACCGGTTGTATACAGACCATCGGTTGAAAAGCCTGGTATTCATACTGTACCAGGTTTACGCAATGTGGCCCTTGCTGAGTCACAAATTTATGCTCAGGCTTCTAGTCTGAAGGAAACAAATTTCGAGGGGTTTCACCAGTCTTAGTGTTTCTGGCGAATGTGCTGACATGTAAAACTTTGTTTTCACGTTGTTGAACACGGATGGATGGGGCTCTCTGAATTGGGAGTTTTCCCGGTGTGGCTTAGAAGTTCAACGTGATCGAATAAGACTACTGTACACTCTCTTCCGAGACATTGGTGCTGGGATTAACTGGTGGACCATGAAGGTTTGAAGTTAAGGAAGATAGAGTTGCGCAGAACCCCGTTGAACCTCGGGGATAATGATCTTGCAGCATTGATCAGGCGGGGGATGCCAGCAAAGAAACGAGTTCAGCGTTTATAAATCTGTCCGTGGGGCCTTGTGATGCAATAAAGTGGGTCGGTTGGTGCCATTTGAACCGTAATAATCCCGCGTGCTCAACGTTCCATCGCCTTGTTCCATGTTCAACCTTTCCCTGAATTTACCGGAGATGTGCCTGGCGCGTGTCTGCGTCTGCAGAGCCAACAAATCATTGTAACCTTCGGACGCTTGATTTGTAATCCGATTACAGTACCACCAGACGTGCAATGGTGGAATGAACTCGCACCTCTTTCCGCGTTCACGTTTCTCTTGATTTTTTTTTTAACATTATTTCCTGTCTTCATGCTCATCACAATCGATAATAAAATACAGTATACTGTACAGTCGAACCTCGATTAGCCACCACAATTTGCTTGTGTGACGGTTGAACGGGGTTGGCGTTTTATAAAAAAAAAATCTAAAATTTAGTACTGTAGTATGAAAATCAAGCACTGTATGATAGGAAATGAAATTCTCATTTTTCTATATGAGTCTATTTTATAGAATAGACCCAAAAAAGTAAATTACGGTATGTCATCTTTATGTTCGGAATATTTTTCTTCGAGGGACCTTTCATAGAAACTTGAATCTTGTTGGCGGGTAATTGAAATAAAATTGATCGACAGGAGCATTTTTGAGTTATCAATAATTTTGGCGGTGTTTCAACGGGGTTTCTAATGCCATCATCATTAGGGAAGATAGGTACAGTAATTGAAAATAAATTGGCGGTTTCCGAGGGTGGCGGCTTATGGGGAAGGGGGGGGGGGGGGGGGTCTAAGGAGTTTTCATTGTATACAAAACTTGGCCAGTTTATTCCTGTCATGCATTCATAGAGGGTTGAGATTACGAAAGATTTATGTCAGCGAATGTGTTCGGATTCTTCATCTCCTCATCATTGGAAGAATTTTAAGCAGTCTTCGGAATATTTTTCGTTCCTGGTTTGGTGCATTTAGGATTATATGCAGTACTCGGTTGAAAATCTGACCCAGTTGTTCCCTTCTGCATCAAGGCTGATCGAGTTACTCGACATATGTTGTAGAACTCCGATTATTCGGTTAAAAGATTGAGTGGATTTGCCTGAATGCTCAAGTGCGATATTCATTCGGATCTGAAGTGCTTTCATTTAATTACATGCCGCACCTGAATTTAAAAAAGAAAATAATTTATCCTCAAAATTTATGGCGCTATAATCAAATTCAATTTCTTCGAAATCAGGTGCTTCAGCTTTCCTCATTTTCAGTGCCTATACTCAGTCTTCGCGAACAGTTCCAGTTGAAGTCAAGATTCCAACTACTGTATTGTGTTCGCTAATTGAAAATTGCTTTGCAATGTAATTTAATTTAACTGTGCACATTGTTTTCATTGAAGGATTGTGTTGGTCAGAAACGAGCGCGGTCAGAAACGAGCGCGAACTTCACCTTCGAATCTAAGACGCCATCGAATGTACAAGAGTATAATACAATACACTGATGTCGAACCTATTTTTGCGAGAAAAGCATGTTTCAATTTCAGCAGGAATCATGGATGATCGGATGGAGGTATCCGATATGAACAATGATATCCAACGAACCGATTATTTACAGAATAAAAATTGACGATACTGAACGTTCTCAAAATTTTCGAGAAGTGTTTGTCCTGATAATCAAAATGGAAATGAAGCGGCTCAAATGGAAATAATTGTGATGAATACAGGCTGCCGCGTTCTTCGAAATTTGGGCGATTTCAATCGAAAGCACTGTCTATCAAAACTCGAAGAATATGAGATTCGTTCTATAGGGAAGCAAGATACTGCCTCTTGAATGCTCTAGTTAGTCTAGTAGAATGCTTCAGTTATTCGTGGCTCCATTAAAGAGAAAAAATACTGTATCGGTATCCGTCGTTCATTTTTCAGCAACTTCCGTTAAATATTTTCTAGTCATCTGATTAATCACGGATTCTGTCGCAAAGCATTCATTGAGGCTATGCTGGATGACAGTCACGAAGAATAATATGGCCCGTTTTTGTTGCATGGGATGGTCGCTGCACGTGTCACGATGTACCTGGACCTTACAGAGCTGTCTCGTGAAGTTCTGATACGGCGTCGTGTGTGGGCGGTTTACTTCAAAAGTGTCCCCCAGTCTCGGCTATTTCGAACTTCGATTCCATCAGTTGACTGGTTTTCCGAATGCTGATAAAAGATGCTCACACGTCTAAAATCGATTCGAGAAGCATCTCCATCTTTTTTTTCTTTCCTTTTTGTAAGCATGCGGAGGACCCCGGAGTTTTTTTTTTTTTTTCAGTGAGAAAAACTACGTAAACTGCGAATGCTGAAACGCTGAATTCAACATCGAAAGTCGCTTGAATTTCTTGCAAGCAGCAATCTTATATTTCATAGGCCATCTCATGCTTGCTATGGCCATTTCGAAAGACTTTTTTGTATTTTTAAAAGAACTATGAATGCTGGAAAGGCAAACTGGAGCTTTGAAAAATGCTCACGTGTGGAATCGTCTTGTCGTGTACTCGTGTGCCTTATTGTTACATCGGTGATCTGAGGATGAAGTAGTACTGTACAGTAAATAAAAAGAAAAATCCCATATTTAATAGGTTGAAAACGTTGAAGTGGTCTTTATTTTACGCTTTTTCAGCATCACTTTCGATGATAGCAGGATGTCAGCTCTTCATGTACGTTTCTTATAGAAAGTCACGTTCGTTTTCGGGAGACGTATCGGAACGTTGTACCATCAGCGTGGCTGACATGAATCTATCGAGAAAAATTCTTAGGAATCCACCTCTTCGTCACCTGAAAGGCAAAGCTAGGAATATTTGCTGGACTGCCATCAAATGTATCGTTCCAAAAATGACAGTTCGCGCTGTTGGACGTGAATTAGAAATATGTCGAACGATTCGCATTCGAAATTAATCTGTCATCGTTCTCTCTATCTGTCCTACGCGACACTTCTTCCACGTCGTCAGAAAAATTGGTCGTCGTTGGAAAACGATGCAGTCGATAAATAGTATTAGGCCAGTTATATGTCTGATGAGGTGTTGATGATCGAACTTTCGCGTGACATTGAAATCCCCTATGATTTTTGTCAATTCTCCGCGATCAACCGACGTGTTCGTCATTACTGTATCCTTGGAAAAGCAGTCTCAGTTGTCTTTTGAAACTGTTTTAGTTTCAATCGTAGCTCTTAAATGACCATTGCACAATGGCGTTAAATTTGGCCTGTATTGATTCAATTGAAACTGTCGACGTAAAATGGTTAGCCTATACGATACCGTATTGTTCCAACGTATTGAACAGTTTGCAGTATATTTTTGCGGATGACCTAACTCGTGAAGTGTTTGCATATGCCACATGAGTAATTCGGTGATGGAACTTAACCCTGTGTGTGATGTGTAAACCTATATTGACTGACTGAACGGACTGTGTCATCTGCATGCTTGCAGATTCGAGTCCTTGAAACATCAACCACGCTCTTTCCTGATGGGTAAACATTCGCAGATTTGTTTCTGCTGTTGTGCTTACATTTTGTATTCAGTTTACTGGCCCCTCTTCGCAGATAATGAAAATCTGGATAATTGAAGCTTGAAAATGCTGAAGATGTAGGAATTCAATATCATGGCCGAATTCCTAGTTTAAGGATCTTTATTTCACCCGAATATTCATGAATCAAATTTGTCAGGGGGAAAGATGAGAATCAAATTATCGTAATTTATTGTATTATCATGCCTCCATTCGTGTTGCTTCCTCTCGCCGAACGTGACCGCCGTCGAACACATTTTATTTTGTTGAGATGTACGGCACCGTTATTTTTTATCTTCAGTCCCTCATAGTCCGTTATCAGACTCCCCGCATCATCATATTGATTGTTCGTCTATATACTGTAAATTGTTGGTGAGACGATGAATCTTTTTTGGATATACTTTCCACCAGTGAAATCTGTATTTAGTCTTCCACAACTACGGGTAGAACATAATCTCACATGTAAATTTAAATTGAAACTCACAGATTGATCAATAAGACAGTACCGTATTAAAAAGAATCCTGCACTTACCAATGAATATGCGTATACAGTACGTACGAGTATTTTCCTGAAATATTATATCTCTAACCGTCGAGAAGGGTTTTCGGTTGAATTATTTATTCCAAAATGTTCATCATCTTATTTTTTGGAGTATTTTTACGTCGTTGAATTGATGAGAGTTCTTGCATATTATCGATTATCCCGCAAATCACTGCGTCAAGTTTGATCCCAAATTTTCTTTATGCTGTATTACAGTTCAACGGGCTTTTTTACGAATACCTGTACCATTATGACGAACTTTATATTAGAACACAATTTGTTGAAGTTCCCGGCCAGAACTCCATGTACATATTGCTAAATAAATCTCGCTATGCGGAAATTTCACTACTCAGGACAACTAAATGATTGTTTCTTGATTTTCTGCAGTTTTCCTTACACCTCTTGGAATAAAAAAAAATATTTTTATGGATACGCGCTGTCACTGGACTTCTGATGGGATTTATTCTGGACAACTTAATTTTGTTCAAGTATGTTGCTTTGTACAAAAAGTTCAGGTTTGAAGGATTATTTCTTGTCAAAAAATGTTCGAGAGTCTCACTACTGCACAGCATAACAAATCTGTTGTTGTATGGGTCCCCGAAGTTTATTGTGCGAGATAAAACCTTTTCTCCAATAAAAAAAAGATATATATGCAGTATATACGGTACATATATATATATATACTGTATATATATAAATCTTTTTGCTTTAAGTTGAAGAAAAATTAAATTTTTCAGGCTTAAATGGTTTATTTAATTGGGAAATGAGGCCTAGTGTTGCTCTTGAATTGAATTAAACAGGAAACTTCATTTTCTGCTCATGAGCATTCGCAAGGTTCAAGCAATGTTCCTACATTCAAACCCCATCACACATTCATCTGAACATATTCCATCACATCAGAATGGAAAATAGAGAAATAAACTGTACATGGATATTAAAAGATCAGAAAATGCATCCCAACAAATTACAATTGCACAACTGATGTAAATACATAAACTTTTTTCCCTTCTCTGATAACAAAAACAAAATGTCAGTGAAAAGAATTGCAGCACAAGGCAATTACTGAAACAAGATTAAAGCACAATTTAAAGCCAAGTTCAAATAAAAGCCATTGCTACAGTATTTGGCATTCATCAGAGCTCTACCATATTTATTTAAACACGTGTACCCTTTTCTTGAAATTTTGAAGGGAAAATGTGTACACATCTTTTTAACAAATTATAGAAGTTCAAGTGTGACTTACACAGCATTTGACTCCAATGTGGAATTTTGGTCCAAATTTAGCAGAAAGACTCATTGTAATGTTAATAATTGAAAATCAGTTGAATTCAGGATCAATTTGTAACTGAATTCAAATTTGGATGTTCATATTTTTTTAATATTTCACTTTTAGGGGCACTAAAAATGGGGTAGGTGTCTTACTTGAGAATAAAATTTCATAAATATACTGTAGCAGACACTTTATGAAAATCAAATACAGTAGTTCACCTTGTTTATTTATCTTTCCCACATGCTGATTCATGATTAGACGCTGTGCCCAATTCAAGTTCTTATTTCCACTTCTGACCCAATAAAATACCATTTGTAGACCCTCACAGAGTTTTGAAATGAATAGAGAGAGTTTGCATCAATTTTCTGAGGCAAGTACCGTACTTCCACCGAGACCTTGGAAGAAATCATAAATGATTATTGCCTCAATTTCAAAGCCATGCATGGATGAACAGTTAAATCGTGGAGAGTTGTGCATTGTGATGGAAATGAAGGCTTTCTGGAAAGTTGTGGATCATACAGTATGACCCCAAAATAGAGACACCCTGACATACATATGATTCAACTTGGGGACGCTTGAAATGTTGAAGAATCAGACCCAACATCCAGACAAAATCTCAACCTACAAACACTTTTCCAACATTTCTGGTAAAATTTTTATTTTTCATAATTTCTATATCTCTTGAAAAATTGAGCCATCTATATTCACAAAAGTCAAAATTGAATTTTGTTCGCAATTTATAATCAAAAAGGTTAATGTTGTGATTACAGTGTATTATTTTTTAGAATTCTTCATCATCTGTGCACAGGATATCAAGATTTGTACTTTTTCTTTGTTTTTGGGGTCTTTTCGATGCTAGAAGATCAGATTCTGTGTGGTTTTTTTCAACACAGTTATATTCTGCATCGTTTAGTTGAGAAACACATTTCATTTGATTTTTGGGAGATTTACGGCATTTAAAATTTTTGATGAACGTGAGAACCAATCAAATGAATTTACCATTGAAATCTAAAGGAAAACTATATCCGACATGAATGCGGACGTTTCGACATAGGGACAATGTCCCAACACCAAATTACGTCCGCATCTCGGGGTCTCTGGATGACCGGAGGGTCAGTAACCCAATCACACAGGTTATCAGGTTTGTTCTTGGTGGAAACCCCACTGGTGGCTGCTGTCAAACCCGGCGCCAGGTGCTTTGATGAATGTCTGCGATTAAACTCCCGACAGACGTTCAAGGTTCCCACAAGCCACGATACGAGGAAGGAAAAAGAGTGCGACTCCAGCCGCGCCTCTCATCAGTGCTCCGAGTGCTGTTCATTCCATTACTTCACTTCTTCCGCGAACCGTGGACTACAATGAAGGTTATATATATATATATATATTTTTTTAAATTGTGAATAAACCTCCTCAAAAATGGAGAAGATACAATTAAATTTGCATTGATTTGGAGAGTGACACCTGTGAACAAACCGTGTGAATTTCGTTCCACCGAAAAAACGCGCCCGCGACGAGTTCTACATTAACAAAACACCTCCTGCTCCAAGCGACATCTACACAGGCTCTCACAAGTTTAAACTCTCGCCGGTTTTCGAGCGGTTCGCCCCTTGTATAAAAAATGACACTAGAAGTCACTGTGCGACGGGCAGTTCCTGAAGACTCGAAATGCATCAGAGGACTGATTCAAGTGAGTACTGTGTTTAAAAGGGGAATCTTGGACAAATGAAACCTGCAACATTTTTGAATATAATTTGCAGGAATTGGCTGATTATGAGAAAATGCCAAATGGTCCCAAAATCTCAGCAGAAGGTGATGTCTATTTTACTCTTGGAGACCCTGCATTTGTTTTTATCACGTAAAGCATGTGTTACATGATCCGAGAAAAGCTGATTCAAATATTTTCCATCAGAAAAATCCCCTATTTTTCTTGTTAATTGGCATATTCCAGTCCTAGAAAAAGTTCTGGAGTTTAGTCTGAATCTGAATACAAACAGACAGAGTAAAGAAAATTAAGTTCTACTTACTGTTATGTTATATCGATCAGTTATTCCATCAGGAGATTCTTAGAAAACTCATTCATGAGAGCATTTTTTCCTCTATCAAATAACTACTGTATGGCAAAAATTGTCTGTGCAACATGAATTTGTTTTACATTTTGGATACACTTTTGAGCCCTGCATTTTTGCATGTTACTAGGGTGGTATATATAAATATCCTGATTGTGTCATTGGAAGTTTAAAAAAAATAATGCATCAGAGTGCATATACAATTTATATAAAATTGATAAAATGTGAAAAATTGAATTCAGCTGATGCATACACATAAATTGGATAAAAAAGGCTGGTAATTTGAGAGATTACTTTTACTTCCAAAAGCTTCAGATTTTAATTAAAAGCCAATTCCACTTGGAGCAGATTTGCAAACCCATTTGTTCCCTGGAGAAAAGAAGTGCAGATATTCCTGCCTGGTGGCTGAAAATTCTGCAGGAGACTTGATTGGGTTCACACTATATTATCCAGCTGTGAGTCATACATTATTCAATCGGTCAACTGAAAAAACAAATTACGAATTAAATACAATTTCACAAATTTCAGTGGAGTTTCATGGGTCATTCCTATTATATTGAGGATCTCTACGTGCAACCATCCTCAAGAAGAACTGGAGTCGGACTGAAAATTTTCAAAGAAATAGCAAAGGTTTGATTCATTCTGACCATGTTTTTATGCGTCGTGCAAAAAAATTTTAATCTTTCGCAGGATGCAATTGAAAATAATGCGAAAAAGCTTTTCTTCTCTGTCCTCAACTGGAATGAGCCAGCTATCAATTTTTACAAGAAGCTGGGTGCTCTCGATTACACTGCGGATATGACCCTGGATATCTACAGGTTCACCAGACCGGCAATGGAAACTTTAGTGAACGCTGAGTAAAAAAAAATTGGTTAAACTCGCTTAATTTTGGTGCTTGATTTTTGAAACATTTCATCTTCAAGCGTGGAGAATCTAAAAGCTGACCCAGAAGTGTCCGTTCGAAGTGCTACCAAAAAGGACTGTTCAGTACTTCTGAAACTGATACAGGTAACGTATTCAGACATAAATTATTTACTTTTGAACTTATATAAAACATGGGGACTTGCTTTCAGGATTTCATGGATTTTCTGAACGTCAAGGAAGATCTATTCCCGATTGAAGGTTGGTTTAAAAATTAATTTGCCAATGATATGTAAAATTGTCCGGCAAGTAAAAGAAAAAAACCCTGCTGCATTAAAACTAGAAGTAAAAAAAAAAATTAGTAACCACTAGATTTCAGCTAAAAATTTCCCGTTTTTAATTGGCACAACAACTCTAAGTCCCCCGGAATTTATATAGATAAAACTCTTGCCCATTTTCGCGATTTCCGATTCATAAAAAAACCTTTAAAATATGAGTTTTTCAAGGCAAATCGAACAAATAATTTTTTGCAAACACTAAAAATAAATTGAAGAGACAACTTCTGCATGATTTGCAAGACTTCTGCGAAACCCGTTGGCATATTTTTTTTTGACATTTTAAAAATGCTAAACATAACACGAATTTTCGACGCAGATCTAGAAAAATTCGCGTTTTCCGAAGCAGACGATTTCCTAACAACTATCCAGATAAGCATTGCTGAACGGGGACAGACAGCAATTGGCTACGCCATGGCTTTTCCAAATGTGAGTGAATTTTTTTCTTTTATCGCTCATGGTAGACTAGAATAGAGCACTTCGATTCAATGAACGCAAGATTTTTAAGTAATTTCAGCATTACTTGGTTGATTAATGTTCAATTCGGGTTCATGCCGATATATTTAAAGAATACATGTTTAGTCCGTTTTGCGCACTCAAAAAAAAAGTACGGTACTGAAATCAACACAGTAACGAAAAATAGTTTTAAGAAAACAAATTCATCAGCATTGGAGAATTTTTCGATTCGGTCAGATTCGGTTGGTCAACATGCCTGATTTTCTGAATAAAGAAACCTCATGAACTAAAATTCAGGCGATATTTCGATTACAGTACACGTTTTGTACCGCCATTTTCTGGCTCTTTGTTGAAAAATGGATAATACAGTAATATGAAGTTTCTGATTGTATTCTGTGAATGAAAAAAAAACCCACTCTTATACCAACAGTTTTCAACCTGGCAAGGGCCAGCATCTTGGCTGGAAAATCTTTACATTGTTCCAGAGGAAAGAGGAAAGGGTCTGGGAAAACAACTTGTGAAACACGCGATTGAGGTATACTGAAATTGTTTTGGAAGCATGCCTCTTTTTCATTTTCCAAGCTTTCAAGTAAAACTCAAGTACCTTTTTCTGTTTTGGAAGATGGTGGCAATAGTACGGTACACTATGCATCTCAGATTTAACCATGAGCCAGCAAACGCAAAGAACTGCAGTCCTTTTTCCATTATTTGGCAATGTCAGGTTTGGGTAGGCTACTTGTAATGTTAGTGTAAGTGGATTTAAGTTTTTGGAGTTGTAAATAGGTATTCACTTGGCTTAGGTGTAGACTTGGTTTTTTCATGTGTTAGGTTAGGTTAGTTCAAGTTAGGAATGAAATTATAGTTTAGGTTTTTTGTCTGGTTACTTGAGGGGATGAGTGACTTAAAATTAAATTTTGTTACGTTAGTTAGGGTATTTGAAGACTCACACAGTAAAATCAAGTCAGAGTGGTTTACCTGTTACATTTCCTTAACCATAAGTTTATAAATGGTTAGGTACTTAGGTTAGATTAGACTAGGTAAGGTATTACAGTTGAACCTCTCTAAGTCAAATTTCAAGGGACCAGCAACAAATTCAACGTAGGGAGATTTTAAATTATAGAGGTTTGAGCTACAATACAAAGCTATTTTGTAATTTTTTTTTACAAAAATTGTAAATGGTGGTATTCTGGGGCTTAAATTTTTCTTAAATGAGTTGAAAGGATGCTGAAATTGTAGGCAGGGGTTTATTTGCCCAATTTTGTCTTTCACTTCCTTTTGGAAAAATCTATTTCTGTATACTGTTTTTCTTCATTGTGTAAAGAAAATGGTAGTCAACAGGCTACAAAAAAATTTGACTTACAGTGGTTTGAAGGGGAAAGCCTTTGACTTAGGGAAGTTTTTAATGCATTATTTCTAAGGAGATTCAGATGGGGATCTGAAAAAAATTTGACTTAGGGGGGTATTTGACTTAGGGAGGTTTGAATGATCAAGATTCACCTGTACAGTACATCAGAACACAACACAGCATTAAATTAAGTGAGATGAGTTCAGGCGTTATGTTTGGTCTGGAATTATAGTAGCTTAATTTTTGCACAGCTATCAAAAGGTGATTTGAATATAAGATAAAGGGGTTTGTTTCCCAATCAACAAAGATTTTGCTGTTGCATGCATGAAAAAGAATCATTCCAGGCCCATCCAAAGATAAGTACAGTATAATAATAATCCCCTAAAATTTACAATACAGTATTTCCACAATAGTTAGTGCACATAAATAACTTTCTGTAACTTAAAATGGCTCTTTTTCAAAGTTAAAATCCTCTCTCTCTGACATTTTGGCAGGTGGCAATGAGAGAGCCATGTGCAAGAATGGACCTGGTGACAAATACATTGGACCCATTGGCCAGAAATTTGTACACTGGTCAAGGAGCAATTAACTTGACCAAAGAAGAAGGTTGGCATTGGTTCAAACTTCAAAGGCCGGAGATTGAAAAGCTCTATTCCGACTAAATTGCACATTCCTTACGTTGTGGATCAATTAAAGAGAAATATGAAGTCTCTGACAAAAACCGACCATCAAGCGTTTCTTTATTTCACACAACTTCAACATCCCTGTACCAGCGTATACTATACAAAATAAATACCGCATTGATACCGCAGACAAGAAAAAATAAATAAAAATCGTTCTCGGGGTTCAAAATTGCGTCTATTGAAGTAATAATGAAAACATCTCTAGTTTCCGCAAACGACGACAAAATAATATTTTTTTACGTGCATAACATTCAAAAATCATCAAAAAATGTGAAAATACGTGAAAATTCTTCTAAAACTCCCAGAAAAAAAAACAGAAAAATAGTTGCGAGAAATAATCAAACCGAATATCCTATACCCAACGCAAGCGAGAAAAACACGATTTGAAGCTACTCAAGTTCCATGTAAGGAAACGTTGCTTTGTTTGTCCCACCAATGAATGAAACAAGAAATAAATGGTCGCATTTCCGAGCAACACGTTCTGCGAAACAAGACCCGCGAACCCTGCACGTGTCAACCGGCATTTGTTTCATTGTAACACGATTCTCTCAATGCTGATATCATTGTTGCTGTTGCTAAGCAGGCTGTAAGGATGAATCAAAAAATTAAATTTAGGTTTTTTTTTTACGGAGTAGACATACAACTACACGCAAGGATCTGTAACCCAATCACACTTCAATTTAATGTTTACAATTAAAAAAAAAGACTTCCTCAAAACAGGGGGCATAGAAGATTTTTCAAAGACAGCTTGTGCGTGTCTGATCCAGATTGAATATTTTCCGAAATTTTAATTCAGGATTTTACATTGATAAAATTTTGCAGAGCAAAACTCGCCCAGGAGCTGATTAGATTTGCTATTCTACCACAGTTCTGTATTTCACTTTTTCATCCCGTTACGGACTAAAAGAAGAAATTCGGTTATTATTTGTGTACACTGCACTAATATACAAGGCTTTATTAACACTGCACTATTATACAAGGCTTTATTATCGCCATTTGCTGGGAGAGCGCCATCTGGGAGAAATCTGCGCGAATTGCATCCGAACCGAACGAGTACCACATCCTACTCAAAGCGACATCTACATAGACTCCTAAAAGTTCAAATCCTCGACGGTTTTCCTGTAGTTTACCCGCTGCATATAAATGTCGCTAGATGTCACCGTGTGATACGCAGTATTTATTCAAGAGATCAAGACACAAAAACATGAAAGGTGAAAATTTGTTCAAAATTTTTAATTTAAAATTTCAGGAATTGGATGAGTAAATGAGAAGATGTTGATCAGCTCAAAAATTTCAGCTGAAGGTGATGCTACATTTCTGTCTGTTTCACTTGGATGCCCAATCTTTGTTTCTGACAGGTGTTACCCAAATCAATAAAATTATAATTGATGACTGATTCAGATGACATCAAATGGTTTTCATTGCAGAGGGAAGGTCTGTATTACAGTATTTTGTTTAAATGTTTGAATTAAACTGAAAATCTTGAACTAATTTGAATTGAAATATATGACAGAGTCAAAAATATTTTTGAAATCAGATGATGGTACTGTATACTGTCATCCCAGACTTCATCAGTGTGTGTGTGTGTGTGTGTTAAACTCAGCAACAAGAAAATATTCTCCTTTCAAAATGGGAACTGGGAGAAGGAACCTCAACTCCCATACAATCACAAATATAAACATAACATCTAATTTCCAAAAAAACTAATTACGCCCTTTTCACTAAAGGCAGTGCCGTAGTCCCATTTAAAACTAGTTGATGCGGTTGTCACTTCCGAATGGTGAATCTTAAGGTGTTTACTAATCATTTTCTGGGTTCTTTTTCATCGGCTGAAGTTCGCTACCCCAAAGCATAGGAAAATAAACGCTTGTTCCTTTTTTACTCGTCGGCACAGGAAAAAGATTTAAATTTCCTTTTTCTTGGGTGAAACGGAAATTGCGTTTTTTTGTCAACACCAGAATATGCGGGAATGACAATTTGAAAAACTCTTGAGAAGCCCCATGTGTATTTCTGTGACATTTTTTGGATGCTGAACGTGCAGAAATTCTCGAAGCAGATCTAGAAAAAAAACAGGTTTTCCGATTCGGACGATTTCTCAAATATCATCCAGATAAGCGTGGCTAAACGGGGGACAGACAGCAGTATGCTACGCTCTTGCTTTCCCAACGGTAAGATATTTTT